AAAAAAAAAAAAAAAAAAAAAAAAAAACACCACATCATAGTAAAACCAATACCTTCTCAGCTTCGCATCGAAGCTAAAAATAAATAATTACTAGAGACTAGTTGATCAATTTTATTAAAAATAAAAACGTATTTAGAAATATTAATTTTTCTCAGAATGTTCGAAGTGGCGTATACTATAGCAAAATTCGTGGTTGCATGAAAAAGTTTTATATATATATATATAATTTTTCAACTATAAAAACATTTCGGGGCGAGTGTGGTGATGACAAAACTAATTCTGAAATAAAATTTCAGTTTGAAATTGAAAAAGAAGAACATTTAAGAAAAGCAGAAAAATTTTACACTTAAAAAATCATATGTTGATAAAGCTAAATCACTGAAGAAATTGTTTTAATTTATTTATAATAATCTAATTAATATACATTAAGATTTATATTTATTGTTTTGAATAACTTTAAATATGTTAATCAATAAAATAAACACAATAATACTTATTGTCAGGGACATACTAAGGAGCCATATGATATGAACCCCATCGCTGAAATTATAATATAAATATGATATTTTTAAATTAGAGTTGGAACTTTTTTTTATGTACATAAATATTATAAAAAAATCCTGCCTATGTGACTGAAATAATAATAATGATTGTATGAACAGAATGCTATTATAATTTAAATAAATGTTGTATTTGTATATAATAATTTTTAAAACATAGTTATACAACATAGATACAATGATTTGCAAAATTGAATGATTTTATAATTAAATATTACCATTCATTGTTATAAAAATAAAATATAGGATTATTTTTCATTATTTCTGAGCAATAACCTGGATTTTCTACATTTTCATATTTGTTTTAGTTAAATAAAATACTTATAATTGTATAGAGAATTTAAATTTATTTTTATAATTTTACTATATTGTGAATTAACTGTTAAGTTGTTTATGTCTGTTGAATAATTTCAAAAAAATTTAATTTGAAAACCATATAGCACTCAAAATCACAAGAGTAGTGATAATTATTGAGAAAACATCCAAATATAAATTTCTATTCAGTTATAAATTGTATATTTTAAAATCACCTCTTTTATAATTAATTTATATTATTAAATAGAAACATGTCTCTGACAAAAAAAAAAAAATATTCGAGTTAAATTGATTAAAAACACAAAATGGTTCAATAAGATTGAATATAAAATTGAAAGTTTAAAATCCTAATTAAATATAAATTAGTTTTATTCGACGGTAAATTTAATTAATTTAATTTGAAGTATATTATGTATAACATAATAATTTAAATTAAATTAAATGTTCAGATAATCAAACACAAATTACCCAAAATATCTAAATAATAACAATATTATTGTTACAATAACAGAAATTATTATTTTATATTTTTAAATAACTAATTCTTTTATCGCATAAGACACTAGACGCTTCTCTCCACTTCAACTACCCACACTTAAACCTGTGTCTTATATCCTCGTCAATACCTCTTTTGCACAACTAACCCTAAATACTTAAAACTTTCCACCTCTACAATCACGTCCTCCCCTATTGTCACTGATCTCCTCATTTCACATACCTCTATGTATGTCTGTAGACATCTAATATTATATTTGTGATAAATCATTCTACCTGTCCTATTTGTGAACTAAATTCTTATTAGTATTTAAAAATATTATTACATACTATGGATGTGTTTAGCATTGATAATGGTAAAATTGATTTCAAAATTCGTATCCACAACTTTTCAGTAATTTTTTTTGTAGCTTTTGAGTTTTTAGTTTTTTAAATTAATAATATTTTTAATATAGTTTTAATTATATTTAATTAATTAGCCACAAGTTATCATTTCTTATTATAGAATTTTGAACTATTTTCAAACTAAAAAAGATTTCTTATCACTTATATAGTGAAAAATTTTTTCAGATGAATACAAAAAAAATATGAGTTGAATTTATTAAGAAGGTTGGTTTTTTGCACTTCAAAAATTTCACTTTGTTTAATGTTACTATGAAGTTTTAAATTGATTTTTACTCTCCTCATAATTGCTTTTGGATAATAACTACACACATAATTTGTAATAGATTTGTTTAACAGTTCATCTATTTTTGTTAATTTTTGTAAATTTTTAAATAATAATCAATCTTAATAATTAAAAACCTCAATAAATAATTTATTTAATACACACTTGTACTAATTAATGGGCTGCGTCCTCTAGGAGAAACCATTTGATGCATAGGCTGTCTTATAACTGGTCTCATTTGTCTTTGTAAAGGCATTCTAAGTGGTTGACTATACATATTAGGTACATTAGAAGGAGGAGGCAAACCATCAGGTAGAGCTCTACTGGACTGTAATTGTTGGTCATAATTCATTGCTGGTAGTCGTTGTACCTAACAATAAAAATATTATTTTCTTTAAGATTTAAAAATAATTTTAATAATAATGATATAATTAAAAATAAATTGGAAACATTTAACATAAAACAACTATTACTTGATGTTCTAATTGTTGAACTGATGAAGGCATAATGTTATGTATTAAACGTTGATGCTCTATTAACTCAGGTAAATCTGAGAATAACAATGGTTCACATTCTTTAAAAGTACATTTGAGATGCTTCAATGTAATTCTATGTTCATTTAGTAATTCGGTAGTTTCAAAACTTAATCCACATACATTACAACTAAGATTCAAGAATGGAGAAGAAAATGAAGTGCCATTTTGAGATAAAAAATTTGATGAAGATTCAATTTGCCCATGCATATTAATCAAATTTAATGTCTGAGGAGCTGCTAAATCATCAAAAGAACGAACATTTACTCTTAATTTTGTTTCCTTTACATTTTCCTTAGACTCTTTTTTTTCTACTCCATTTTCTGATAGGGACTGAGAGGTATGTTGATCACTGTCATTATAATCATCTTTCAAGACAACTACTTCATCTTCTAAGTCTGCTTCTTTAATTAGTTCTTCTTTTAATGATTTTATTTTGATTTTACAATCCTCTGTTTTAACTGGTGTTGCTGAATTTGAAGATGTTGCTTCCGTTTTTAAATCTATCATATTTTTTACAGTCAATTGGGGTATTTTTATATCAGATTGAATTGGACTTTTTTGATCTGGTACAGATTCATGAGGGCTCTCAGTTGTTCTATCATCATCATCATCTTTGCCAGAACTATGGACGCTAACAGACTCTTCATCAGATTCTTTTTCAATAGTGTCATCATCATTTTGTTTATCAGAAATCTTGTCTAGTTCATTTCCAGAATCTTTTTGATTATCCTCGTGTTCTTCTCCGGATTCATTTTCTAGTATTGTAGAAGGAACATTTTTTACTACCTAAAAATATAAAATAAAAATCTTTAAATGTATCAACCAATAGTAATATAATAAACAAATTTTCAATAAAACAAGTTGTATAACTTACCTCAAAAGATTGAGTTGAGTCTCTTGAAGAGCTACTGCAAGATCTAGTTTTTTTTATTGTCACTTTAAAAGAAGAGACAGATGTTTCAAAGGGTTTTTTCATGTGAGATTTTTGTAATTTTTGATCGTCTTCTAAAAATTAAATGAAAAACAAAATTAGATAAAATATTTTGCTTTCAATACAATTTTAAGAAGATGAATTTTTCTTTTTTTTTGAAAAAATTTTTTACAAAACAATTTTAATAAATTCAATACATTTAAAAAATAAAGTTATAATCATTATATAAAAATCATACACATTGAATTACACATTAAACAATAAATTATAAATTGCAAGTTTAGTTATTTCATTAAGTTACCTTCACTATCTTCATTTGAACAACTGGCATATTGACTTCCACCATATTCCATTTTTACTTTTGTATCACCTGCTGTTTAAATAAGAAAACATTTTAAAGCATTAAAGCAATTCTAAGCATGGTTGGTCTTTATAAAACCACCAATGCTTGCACTTAAATTAACATTTTTTTATTGACAATAACTATGTGTATTAAATGGGTACTTACTTATATCTTTGACATTCTGTTTAGCAATATTTTGTTTTGCTTTATTCTCAATAGAACAAGCTCGTGTTGACACCATTGAATCTTTTGTATATTTCTGAAATTAACAATTAATGTATTTATTATGTTAAATAAGTACAAAAAATACTATAAAACTTGAACAGTTTCAGTTTTTAGAGAAAAAAATTTATATATGATAAATTAATAATGGATAATAATAATTTCTTATTGCTATAAACTATATATTTACTATGATTTAAAAAAATAAATAGAATTTTAAGTTGTACTTTTTTATGATAAACCATTAAATATCAAAAAACGGGATTAATATTTTTAATAAATCACACTGTATATGGACAGAGTTTATTTAAAGGAGGATAAATTACACAATCTTCTAGACATCATAAGATGTAATAAGCCATACATAAGAATGATTTATAGTTAACTACATTTAATGTTAATTTGGTCATATGTTTATCAACTGTCATATGGACATGAAATTTTTACCATTGACCACAAAGCAAATTTCTAAAAAAAATTAATATGTCAACAAAAAATGTCCAAAATTCACTTGTCCCTGTTTACATAAGCTCCATCTATATATATATATCTTATATATATATATGAGTTGAAATAATTCAATATAATATATACCCTTTAATACTAACTATTGCAAGAGTGTCTACTGAGAAATTAATAAATGAATTTTTATTATCTTTGCGCAAAATATAAAATTAATAATAATTTATAATAAATAAAGTTTTCTGGTATGAAATGCTAATTTTTCAATTTTTTTAAAGTTTCTCAAAATAAAATAATCTTGTTTTTATTTAAAATATTTTTATACTTATGGTATTACTTTTGATATTGTTACAGTTAAGCAATCAAGAAACATACTTTGAAACAAAATAAAAGCATGACTTTTGGTTTTTTTATTTAATTATTAGAAATACCATAATTACATAAAAAAAAAATAGTACTTTACTTTCAGTCATGAAATTAAATAATAATAATTAAAACATTATTCAAGTAAAATTGTATAATAATGTATTTAACAATTTTTTTAAAAATAGCAATTAAAATAACATACTCATTCTGACGATTAAAATTGGAATTAGAAATAAAAGATCCTTCAAATATCACTTAAAATAAGCAGTAAACACAAAAAAATTAAAAAATTAATATTCATCGAATGAATAATCATTAATTCTCTTTAGTTAATATAAATAAAAACAAATTATGATAAACCATACATAATGTACAATAAAGATAGATTACATATATTTATGCAAGCAAAAGTAAGTTTAAAAAAACTTAAGTCAGAAGAAAAAATATTGCAATAATAAATTTGGACATATCTTAGTAACTTTTTGATAGGAAAATCTTTTGATAACCTACACTCTAACAATACACCACTAGATGCCGTAACATATATAAATTATAATACCTTTATATCTGTGGTCAAAGTCAACGACATCTGAAAAATGTTATCCATTAACCGAAAACATTTATATAATATATTAAAATAATACTAATGCTATATATAAAGTACTACTTTATAGTATAATAATACTATATATATATATAGTACATTTGTAAAAAAATAAAATTATTCCTTAGGTACATAATTTACTCGTAAATTTTTATTTAACAATTTGATGCATTTTTTTATACCAGGAAAATTTTGGTTTACATAATGAAACTAAGATACTTTTTATCTTAAAAGTACATAAGATAGATGTTAGATTTAACAAAAATCTAAAAGTAACAAAATAGAACATTAATTAATTGAGCGTGGGTATCTATTCAATGATAAAACTCGTTTTAACGTAATTTGATTAAATTCAGAAAAATTATCATGATTGCAGTCTATGATAACTTATCATCATAAAGGCTTTACTACATGTAGTTAAGCCATTACGATTAACGTATTACAATTTAAGGATTCAGTACAATAATCTAGTATCTTCATTTTATTTCTTATAGTAACTCATTTTTTGGGGTGATTTTGAAGCATATCCGTCCATTAGAACATCCAACATCGTAAAAATAAAAAAGCTTAATATACAGATCTTAGTACGAAAATTATTCAATTTTTTTGTTTCCTAAACAGTTATAAGAATTGGAGATAGCCGGTTATGGCAATGGACCTATCAATTGATCTGCTGTTTAGAATGATTCATTTGTAAAATTATCAACTAAAACCGAATAGACAGCAGTAACATATTTTTACTTAGTGCGTTTTTTAATAAAAAATAAAGGAACAATTAAAGATAACTTAAGCATAAGTTCAATTACTAGTAAAATATGATTAACATTATAAAAAAAATGCACTGAATTATCTTACTTGTAAAAAGAGTAAACAACACTAAAGACCTCGAATAATTACACCTGAATTTTGAATATACCCTACGAAAATAGAATAGGTTCGAAGGTAAATGTGTACACATATATTTAAAGAATGATGCTTAAAAAAAAAAATAGTCAAAAACTTTGAACACTAAATTTACTGATTTATTGAAATATTAAAAATGATGAATAATTTAATTGTCAACAACTGTAAAACAGTAATTGTAAATATTGTCTACAAAGTAAAAGTATTAATTATTAAGCAACCTATTAAGATAAAAATTATGCTTAACGGGTAAAATATAAAAAAGTAAACATCTTTATTCTGTGTACGGGCGGTTGAACGTAAACTGATAAGGTAAATGTGGATCGTTACGATTAATATTGAGTCGGCACTTGAAACAATAATATTTATCAAATTATTATAACATAACCTATATGGCGGCGCATTCGCAAACCGCTCGGAGCTTACCACTTACTGTGTTCGAGTACTTTTCACCACACCATCGACTGGTTTACCGCAGATAATCCAACTGCACAAATGTCTGAAAAATTGGAAAAAATTGTGGTTGGGTTTTTGGCCAACGAACGTCCGTACTCCACGCAAACGACTCTATAATGTCATAGGTGGCGGTGAACGAACGGAGGAACAGACAACGGAATTGAGCGCTGCCGGTGTCAGCTAGCATCTCACCGAATACCCAACATCTCCCCCCTAAATGTGGAGATTTTAATTTGCTTCACCAGCGAACATAACAACAAAGAGGAAGAGCCGTTAATGCGTTGGTATGCACATGCCGTATAATTTACAAGTGGAAATGCCCCAGTCAGAAAATACGACTCTAGTGACTGTACTGCGCACCCGTTCGCTCTCGATCACTAAAGCCCCTTGCCCTTACAGGCGGTGTTATAGAAATAGGAATGGTGTTATTTTTCGGCCCTCGTGCCCCCTCCACATTGGTTATTGATCTTGTCGTCCGTCCACCATAATAGTATATCCTACTTGAAAACGACAGCGTTTCGCGGCCGCAGTCTTTCTCTCTCGACTCTCTCACTCTACTGCTCTCTTCCCTTCGTTCTACGCTTTCTTCTTACTTCACTGCGACGGCCCCAACCGTTCTATTATCGGCAACTGCCGTCGGACCCTATTGCCCACAGCGCTGCTGGTGTGTATTTTCTCTTATGCTGCTTGCTATGATCAAGATCCCCACAAAACGCATGACACGAATGTTATTTGCTTCAACCATTGAAATATAACAACTGCGACAGACGCGATATAACGACACGCTATTAATGCACCATTGTTCAGAACGACATTCACAATTCCCACCTCCAACTCCCACTTAATGAAATGGATTTGCTCAATCGCCCTATTTTGCTCAATGCTTATTTTTTGAATACCCAATAACACTATGACTCACAAAAATGGTGAAACAATTTGTTTTTGTTTATGCGCAACGTAAAAAAATAACCGTCAAGTTATTCTTACAAAATTTATAGTTGAGTTGCACTCATAAAAATATCAGCTCATCTCAAAATAATTTATCAGTGTACAAATATATATTTATTAAACATTATTCTTAAAAAAAAACTTATTCGATTAGTTTGATTTTATTTTAATTCAAATTATTTGTTTAATACAAAATTAAAGATGATAATGTTAACTGAATAATTATATTGTGTAAGATAGTTAACTATTTAAATTTAATAACTTTTATAATTATAATAAACTATTCTTTTTTAATAACTACTTTTTTTTTGGAATAAGTTTGGGTTTCAACATCGGCCATTAGTTTGGGCAACTAATATATTTAACATTACCTGTTATAAAATCAAATTCAACAACTGTTAATGTTTTATTTTATTTTTTATGCCACTGTATCCTATTATTGGTATTTTAAATTGAAAATAAAAAAAAATTACAGTGAATACAAGAGATCTATTAAGTATTTATTTATTGTAAAATAAAATAGATTGAATGTTAAAAATCAATTAACGTCGGACAAAGCTAGCGCTCTAGTAATTGTGTGAGCTAACTTCCATGAATTTTCTGCTAATATAATCCTTTATAAATTGTATGTTTTGAAATTCACATTCAAGTTTAATTGTTGCACTTGAGCTTTTGTTTCTTTGTTTTCCTCTAATATAGTCTAACCACCTGAAATAATTCCAAATTGGAATTGAACATTTCAAAATATTATGGTATATACATTCAACCCCAATTAAGGGGACTTCAAAGTTTAGAGACCTCAGATATAAAATGTTATCATTTAACATGAAGTTATAATATTTTACGTTCTTGGACAATATTATTTCATTTTAGGCAATAAATTGAGTTGTGTAGTTAGTATTAATTAACATTAAATTTGAAATATTTCAAAATACTATTTAAATATTTTGAATACTTCTGAGCATCAAATAGATTAAAATAGTTTGTTGGCTGTATATGTCAATGGGAGCATACAAATACATTTGTTGAATGTCTCGTCAAAATATTTTATATTTTTTTATAAATAATTACTGTTTTTTTTAAATCTGAAGATTTTAATAATAGACAATTGTTCTTTGACATAGTGAGTGAGCAATGTTAACGGTGTAGTGTTTTGTTTTGGCTTTAACAATTAAAAGTGGTAGAAAAAATGTATATATATATATATATATATATATACATAGTGTTATACATTATTATTTATTTATAAATAGATATAAAGACTGTCAAGGGCATATTTTAAGGGGAGAAGATAGGGACGATTGCTCCTAGCGTTATCAATATTTTTATAATTATCCTGCAGCAATCATGATTACTTTATTTTTATATCTCTCTCTCCATGGTTTTAACCCGTAGGTTGTTTTGCAGCCATCTTCCATTATACTATATTATCTGCCTTCCTTTACATTTCTACATATAAGCCACATCTTTGGTCCTTTTTTATCTGTTGATTGTATTCTAATCTTGGTCATCCCCTATGATTCTTTCTTTCTACTCTTCCTACTATAATTAGTTTTAACAATCATTCGTATCTCATTATATACCCTATTCATTTGTTTCGTCTTCTAACTATATTTTTCCATAGTAACTTCCTTTTTGATACTCTCTCCAGTACTTTTACATTAGTTACTCTTTCCATCTAACTTATCCTTAATATTCTTCTAATACATCACATTTCAAACGCCTCAAGTATTCTTCGTTCTTCCATTGTTATTGTCCAGGTTTCACACTCATATAGAAAAATGCTCCATACGTATGTCTTTAATACATTTTTAAACTAATGTTTCATTTTTAAATATAGTTTTCTATTATATTTTTATATATTGAGATTAAATCATATTAAATTTATATGATATCTATTTTCAATTTTAATACATTTTTTGATTATACTAAGCTTTTTTCTAGTTATCGATTTTTTTTTTAAATCATCTGGTATGCCATACCAATTATACGCTTAACCCTGGATTAGAACTCATTATGTTTTACTATATGATTTATCAACAATCGACATGACAGCGAACAAAAAGTCTGCTGTCTATTTTCATATCATTTGAATTTGTGTTTTTTAATGGCCACAACTTAAATGACATTTTTTTCTGATAAAAAAAGGTCATTTATCCCTAAAATATGCCCCTTAAAGTGTGCTACACGGAGTCATTGATCTCCTAAATATACTACTGGCTATAATTATGACAAGCTAGCGATTACAAAAGGCGTAAAATATCTATGAATATATTTAAATCTGGTTTAACTCTTATAATAATAAATCTTGCTTTGCAGTACAATTCAAAAGAAGGATGATAGATGAATGATCTTGTTGATTTGTACCCTATTACAATATTATTGTAAAAGAATATTCTGTCAAACAGATATGATCATTATCATTTTAATTTCACATAATATAATTATTAAAAAATGTTTGGTCTATTTCAAATGAATAATTTATCTCGAAATATTTGGGATGGTGTAAACTTCTGCAATATAAAAGAAATACAGATGGAAGAAAATTTTTTTAATGAGCAAAATAAAAAGGTCACGGGAAAGTAGAATTAAGTACCTCGGGCGGTACGATTCCTAAATGCAGCTTTGCCTCTAATTAATTATTTAAATATTTTTAAAACAAATAAGTAATTTATCTCAAAAGATATTTTTTCGAGAAACGCCCGGTATAGTAAGTACGAAATGTTTAAACTGAGAAAAATTCCGCGCATCTACAATCTCTTTGGTACTATAGTTTCATATGACGGAATGCGGCCGTCATCGGTGATTCATGGTTGACTCACCGTTTTCGTAGATATGTCCATACCTTAATCTTCAAATTTTTTGTATAGCTATATCTGACTTAATACACTTATCAGTTGCAAGGGGAAATGTAAACAATTTAATATTCTAATCCCGTATTTCCGTACTCCTCGTTTTTTTAATAGAGTTACGTTGATATATTGACTTATATTGATAAGATTCGAAGTAAGTTAAAAAGTTTTATAACTTATAACTAAAGTTGCTTATGTGCTCTTAAAATTAATTATTTCATTTAAGTTTAATTTCGTTTTAAAAATAAATTACTAAAATGACCGACCATTTCGGTCCAATTACTCTAAAATGGGATCCAAAAAATTTGGAAATACGTACTATGTCTGTAGAAAAAACATTAGAACCACTTGTATTACAAGTAAGTTATTCCAACATAAAATATCAAAAAAAAAACTATATTAATGTGTAAATTATTTAGGTAACTACTTTGGTTAACACCAAAGGGACATCACGAAAAAAGAAAGGACGATCAAAGCGAGCTCATGTGTTAGTTGCTGCTGTAGAAAAAGCTACTGAAAACTTTATTGAAGTTGGTGAACAAATTGCATATGAAAATCCAGACATCAAACAAGAAATGTTAGCAGCTGTCGAAGAAGTTAGAAAAACAGGTGAGTTTTAGTTTAAATAATTGATTTTATGCATATAAACTACGATAATGATACGAATCATTGACAATTCCTTAGTCTTCAACATTTAAAACTAGAAAAGATTATTTATAATATATCAAACATAATTGCCAAATACCAATTAGTATAAAAATGATTGGTTTTGTTGTTTTGTTTAGTTAAAAAAAAATATTAGTTTAAACAGTTAAATATATCTATATAACGCTATTGAATACTTAACTTTATGATTTATTAATTTCTATGACTAATGAATTGGTGAATATGAATATTAATGAGTCATCTAAAAAATGAAGCGACTAAGGTCTGGGTAGGATAGTTTTTAGATAACCTTTTTATTAATTTGATGAATTTTTTATTATAATACTCATTGGGTTAATAAAATTCAGCAATCCTATGTATGCTATTCATTTTCTTTTATTATAAATAAAGAATAATAAAACTTTATGTCGTAACAGCTTTTATCTTTACTTATAAATTTAAAAAAAAAGAAATGATTTTTTAGTTGATCATACAGTTACATAAAGCATTGTATACATACTAAAACTAAATAACCAAGTATGATTATTTAGTATATCCATTTGAAAACTCAATTAGGAATTGGCTAAGACTTAATGGTTTTTAATCATATCTTATAGATATCTATCAAAAGTTTTTTATATCCATGTCATTAGATGGATAGTTTATTGATTCAGTATATATCTAGTGGATGAACTGTGCTGCATTCTATAGGTTGAATGCCATTTGCCCATCCTGCGAATGCATGCCTCACTTTAATAATTAAAACAATGTTTGATTAATTTAAAAATTAGTTATGTTCCTTAAGTTTAATAGTACAATGAAAACTTTTTTTGGTTAAGCTATTGTTATTCCCTTTTTTCAGGGAAATACTTAAATTTTTAAGTGTACAAACTTGGAATATCAAATTTTATTAAAACGTTTATTGAATATTTTTAATCTGTATAATAATAGTTAGAAGAAATAGTAAATATTGTAGAGATTGGGTTTCACCATGACAAAATTTCAAATATTCACCTAATAATAGTGATAGATATTTTCAAAATCTGCTATTGAATATATTATTTATTTAAAATTTAACTAATACAATTGAGTCTATAGGTGATGCTATGAGTATTGCTGCGAGAGAATTTGCTGAAGATCCTTGTGCATCTGCTAAACGTAGTAATATGGTAAGAGCAGCCAGAAATCTTTTATCTGCAGTTACACGACTTCTTATACTTGCTGATATGGTTGATGTGCATTTGTTGTTAAAGTCCCTTAGAGTGGTAAAATCTTTGCTTAATTTCATCTATGTATAATTTGAAAATATTGCTATTGAAGAAAAATTTAATTTTTAAATACTAGGTGGAAGACGACTTAGAAAAAGTTAAAAATGCTTCTAGTCAAGCTGAGTTACTTGATAACATAAAGGTATTTGGTAAAAGTGCTAGTGAGCTCATGAGCCAAGCTGCAAAACGCCAACAAGAACTAAAAGATCCACAGTTACGTGATGATTTAGCTGCAGCACGAGCAATTTTAAAAAAACATTCCACTATGCTTTTGACTGCTTCTAAGGTAAAATATAATTTTGTAGCTAATTTTTATGTATGATAAAAAATTAATATATTAAACAATTAAACATATTGAAATTTTTAGTCTAAGCAATGAGATATTAATTTATTTGTTTAATTGCCTGAATTTAAAATTAGTACATTTCCTGCATTTTACTATGTAATATTAAATATATCTTTAAGTATTTCTCGAATATTTTTTATTAGGAATTTTTTTATTTTATACAGTGGCTAATTTATAATGTGTTCTAGGTATATGTGCGGCATCCAGAACTTGCTGCAGCTAAAGCTAATAGAGACTTTGTATTAAAGCAAGTATGTGAAGCTGTAAATACCATAAGTGATGTTGCTCAAGGCCGATCTGCAGCCATGAATGATAATGGTAATCAAATTTATGATGGACCAGGAGAATTGGCAGCAGCTTTGGATGATTTTGATGTAAATATTATACAATATTATACAATATTATCATATTTATATATTTTAATTTATGTAATTATTATAAATTTAATAAAATATTTAGGAAAGAATGGTAATGGATCCTTTAGTTTATAATGAAGTCCGTACTCGACCATCATTAGAAGAGCGTCTTGAAAGTATAATTAGTGGTGCTGCCCTCATGGCTGATTCTTCTTGTACTCGTGATGAACGAAGAGAAAGAATTGTTGCTGAGTGTAATGCTGTTCGACAAGCTTTACAAGATTTGCTATCTGAATACATGTCTAACGTAAGATTTCATTTTATCATTTTAAAATTAAACAGAGTAACTTAAACCTATTACAATCTATATAAATTAAGAAAAGTATAAATTATTAAAAAATTGTATTATGAAATGTGCAAATGTTTATTTATTTTAGTATAACTCTAAAATTTCTAAATTGCATATTAATCACTCATTTAATCAATTATCTATTGTTGAATAATGTATAAATATATATTTTAATAATTCAATTTTAATTGATAAATATACTCTTATACTCTTATATAATATTGATTATTTAAATATAAATAATTTGGTTATACATTTACTTTTTAAACCCCTATTTTACCTTTTAAAGAACTTAGAGATGTTAGACTATTAATAATTAAATCTATTAATACAAAAACCTGAGCATATGTTATGTAATTTTTTAATTATTTTATCAATTTAACAGTTCCTTCCTTCTCAAATGTTGAAAAAGAGGAATTTAATATTTTTATTAAAAATTTTGTTGAACTATTCAAAATATTTCAAAGTTATGTATATAAATGCATTGACTTTTTATAATTATCAGCTTTTATAAATTCTATTATCACTTAATGTACTCAGTGGATAAAAAATATTTTTAATTTTATTGTATTGTAAAATAAAACTGATTTCTTTGTGTGATGTTGGCAGCAAGTGCAACTCCAAAGGGTCGGAAAAAGGGTATGGCTTATATTAAAAACAGTGTTTCTCTTTAATTGTATAACACTTGTTTTATTTAGCTATGTGATTTTACACTATTAAATACTTGAATGTTTTTTTTATGTTGCAAGTAGACAACAAATCCTATTTTTTCTTTAAAGTGTTATTTAAATAATCGCAGCATTTTTTTTTACAAAAATAGACTTAAATTATAATATTGCTTAAAACTTGATTATTGGTATCCTTCTTAAAAAGTATATTTATTTATCAAATACCATCAATATTTTTGACTATTGTATTTTACTTGTAATTAATTATCTGTATGATAATTTTATTCAGTATCACCAAAGAAAATTATAAATTATTTTAAATTTGTTAAATATATATTCTCAATACTTTAATATGACTATAAGTTTAATTCTACATATTTGTTTGGGATACTAAGTAACTCCCCTATTTGTGCTTATGTTTATTAGAATTATAGTTCAATTAAATAACTTCTTAAAGTTTTACAGAAAAAAAATTATATTGGCACTCATTTTTTTTTTCAAATTTCACTTATGGAAAGCACATGTTTTCATTAAGTAATCAATTATTTATGCTAATTTTTAGTAAATACATTAAAGAATTTCGATAAAAACAGTTTGTAAAACTAATCTATAATGAATTACAGTACCATGGGATTTTTGTAATAGATATCATCTTCAATGTTGAATTTTCTTGTTCACCTTGGCTGTAGTTTTTAAAATTTTAAAATTTTTTATGTTAAATCAAAACAATTTTTCTACATAAGCTCTTTATGTTTTATTTTCTAGATTTTGTCTAATCTTATATATTAATAGGGCGTATGAGTACTGTTTTTAAGCTCATCCAAAGATAACTTGGAAGAATGCTGAATCTGGAAGACTGGATGATCATGCTAATTGTTCAGCATGTTTAAATATAAAAATTTTACATAGTATCACTGCTTTTGTGATATTTGATATTATTTTTAAATAAATATTTGAGCTTTTATAAAAAAAATTGGAGGCTTCCAAAATTTATGTTTTTAAATCTTCATTGAGATATAGATATGAAGATAATGTCATATTGAAATGACATATTATCTAACTAGTATAATCATCTGTCCTACAGAATTTGTATATTCCAAAGACTTCTTGTCCAACATTTAAAAAAATAATTTATTACTTATTGTAATAAGTGACCTAGTAGAATTTACTTTGAGTGGAATACTAATATACATATGACAAAATAGAATATTTAATGTATTTGATTTTTTTTTATAATATTTTATTTCAGTTAGTTTTTGCTTTGACACCCTTTTAAGTTGTGTTTAATAATTTGCACGAAAATATTAAAAGCATGCACTTAAATATTTATTGAAAAAAAATTTTTAGTGGTTTTTATATTTTTTATAGATGAGTGTAAAAGAAACAAGTGAAGGTTTAGAACGAGCTATAGATCATATGTGCCGTAAAACAAGAGATCTTAGACGCCAACTTCGTAAAGCGGTTGTAGATCATGTGTCTGATAGGTATAAGAATAATAATAATAATGTTATAAGATCTGAATTTACATTATGAAGATTTAGTTGATTGGTTCTTGTAGAGAAAATATTTCTTAATTTATACGTTAATTTTAATGCATAGTTCACATAGTTTTTTAAACTATACTTGATCGATATAAAATAAAACAATAATTTTGACATTTTAAATTCAGTGTATTCAACAATATAAAAATGATTGTTAATATTTTTTATTTATATTTCAGCTTTTTAGAAACAAGTGTTCCTTTACTTGTGTTAATTGAAGCTGCTAATTCAGGAGATGAAAAAGAAGTTGAAGAATGTGCTTTAGTTTTTACCGAACATGCTAATAAATTAGTTGAAGTAATTATAAAAACAAATTTTGAACTTTTTAAATGTAAAAAAAAACTTAATATTACAAAATATAATGAAAATTGATCACTTGTGACTAATTTTAAATATTATGAATTAATTTAAATTTTTTTGGAACACACTAGTATGAGTATGCTATTAATGATCTTATATTACTTAATTTTGTGCATCTCTTTTATAGGTTGCTAACCTTGCTTGTAGTATGTCTAGTAATGAAGATGGAGTAAAAATGGTACGTACTGCTGCTGCTCAAATAGAAAGCTTATGTCCTCAAGTTATTAATGCTGCTAGAGTTTTAGCTGTTCGTCCTCGTTCTAAATTAGCTCAAGATAACATGGATGTTTTTCGAGATGCGTGGCAAGCTCAAGTTAGACTACTAACTGAAGCCGTTGATGATATAACTACTATAGATGACTTTTTAGCAGTTTCCGGTATGATGTATAAAAAATTATATAAAAATGGTAATTTATTTTTAAAGTATTATAAAATTAAAATTTTTATGCTTATTGTTTCAGAAAGCCATATCCTTGAAGATGTCAATAAATGTGTTCTTGCTTTGCAAGAAGGTTCAGCTGACCCATTGGATCGAACAGCTGGTGCAATCAGGGGCCGTTCTGCTAGAGTTTGCAATGTTGTAGCTGCTGAAATGGATAATTATGAGCCTGGTATTTATACTGAACGAGTTCTAGAAGCTATAAAAGTACTTCGTGATCAAGGTAAAAATAATATAAAATATTATGAATTTTAAATTTAGAATTAACCAATGTAAAACACATTTTTAAAATTTTACTTTTGCCTCTAATATTTAAAAAAGTAATATTTGAAAAAACAATTTAGATTTTGAAATGAGTATTTAAATTAAATGTAATTTAATATTAATTTTTACAGTGATGCCAAACTTTGCACAACGTGTTGAGTTAGCTGTAGATGCATTGTCTACAAATCCACCAAAAGAAGTTGATGAAAATGATTTTATTGATGCTTCTAGACTTGTGTATGATGGTGTTCGAGAAATTCGACGAGCTGTTCTAATGAACAGAGTAAATTAATTTTAATAATAATGTTAATATATTATTTACCTAATTTTTTTTAACATTACAGACTGATGAAGAGTTGGATCCTGAAGATATAGATTTTGAGGAGCATTATACTGTAGAATCTACACGAAGTAGATGTAAGTATAGTAAATAAATTCTTTATTATTTTATTTCCTTTGTGTTATTAATTTACAATTATTATTACAGCTAGTGCGCATACCGGAGAACCTTTAGATGAATATCCAGATATTAGTGGAATCACAACAGCTAGAGTAATTTTTCTCTAATAATAATTTATTATGACACCTTAAATGTTTTTTCTCATTTATCTTTTATGTTTTAATTTTTAGGAAGCAATGCGAAAAATGACTGAAGAAGATAAACAAAAAATAGCCCAACAGGTTGAATTTTTCAGAAGTGAAAAATTAAAATTTGATCGTGAAGTAGCCAAATGGGATGATACTGGAAATGATATAATTGTACTTGCGAAACACATGTGCATGATTATGATGGAAATGACAGATTTTACTCGGTATTTTTATTTTAAATTAATAATATTGTAAATAAAATTAGTATTACACATATTATTGTTAAATATCTATTTTTATTTTTAGTGGAAGAGGACCTTTGAAAACTACTATGGATGTTATTAATGCAGCTAAAAAAATTTCAGAAGCTGGTACAAAATTAGATAAACTTACTAGACAAATTGCTGATCAATGTCCTGAATCTTCTACTAAAAAAGATTTGTTAGCTTACCTGCAACGAATTGCACTATACTGTCATCAATTAAATATTACATCCAAAGTTAAAGCTGATGTTCAAAATATTAGTGGAGAACTTATTGTATCTGGGGTATAGTTAATAACTTATTCAGTTCTTCAAAATATTAATTGTGTTTTATCAAATATTTTTTAGTTGGATAGTGCTACGTCATTAATTCAAGCAGCTAAGAATTTAATGAACGCAGTTGTATTAACAGTGAAATCTTCATATGTTGCCAGCACAAAATATCCTAGACAAGGAGCCGATTTACAAAAAGTTTGTTATATTATTATCATATATGAACATTTTTTTATTATTACACTATTCGTTTTTAGCTTGTTGTATGGAAGATGAAAGCTCCTGAAAAGAAGCCATTAGTAAGGCCAGAAAAACCTGAAGAAGTGCGCGCAAAAGTTCGTAAAGGTTCTCAAAAGAAAGTTCAAAATCCAATTAAAGCTCTAAGTGAATTTCAGAGTCCAACTGAATCAGTATAAGAGATAAAAATTTATATTTTATTAAATGAAATAAACATAGTGTAATATGTTAATTTATTATAACTATATAATACTTTTAAAATGTAATTTGTTTGTAGTTTTAATTAATACCATTGACTATAAGTACTATTATAAATATTTATACTCAATATTAATACTGTTGCCAAATATTATGTATGATAAATTTAGCTATTTATATTTCTACATTTATACTATTCAATTATAATTTTATCAATTGTGTTTGTGATTATCAGTATTTAATGTCTGTTCAATACTGAAGAACTACTTATAAAAAAAAAAAAAAGTTTCTCTAATTACTTACTTTTTTAATTTAGAAAAGTTTTAACAAAAATGTTTCTCTATATATATATATTAGATAAATAGATTATTACTTGTAATTATTGAATAATAATTTGTTTATATATTTTATAATTTTTATGTTTAATCATGAATTTCTTTATTTTAATTAGTCCGTCCGTAGTGATATACATAGTTCTATAAATAACTTATTATTTATTTAATAAATGTCGGCTTGTATGGAAAATTTGGATATCTTTTAAATGATAATGGTAAAATAATCTTCATAAAACAAAATACATTAAAATTTGTAAATTTGCTATTCACTTTCTAGTTTTCACAACAAAAATTTATATATTTATATGTCTTATTAATATTAAAAATAATTTTTTTAGCTGCATATTTAGATAAAAAAAAGTGTTAATCTTTATATGATTTATTTGTGACTAATTATTTATACTTTTATGATATATTATATGTATTATTAAAATATATATATACAAGTAATTTTTTTAAAGGTTAATTATTTAATACAATTTTAATCTTAAAATAATTATTATTTAAGAGAAATCAAGTGGCTAATATTAATCCAGTCACCAGTATGTTATTTCAAAAGAAAATAACACATTAATTTGTTCTGTAGTTTTAATTTTCTATAATTTTTCTGTTTAAATTAAAGAGCTGTTTTTATCTTCAAATTTATATAAATGAACTAAAAAATATTTAATATTATTATGTAATATTTTTCACGTAAACTATCATATGAGTAATTAAATTTGAGTGAATAATAATATATAAAATGTTCTAAAACTAATCTAATTTTAAAGATTGTTATGTTAATACATACACGAATCTATGATTCAAATCTTTGTTATACATTGAGTTCTAAGTCATTCTTCCATTTTAAACAAAGTTGGATATTAAATCAAAAATAACACCGGTGTTTAAACAAGTTTTTCATTAAATATACTTAATATTTTCATTATCAAAAAATTCAGTAATTTTTAAACATGAATTTTTTTCCATGAACAGAATTTAGAAAAATCTATCTATAATTATCTTTATTTTAGATGTCAAAAACATTTTGAAAAAACGAAATTATTGAGTTTTTCTTACTAAAAAATGTATATTTACACATACAATTTCAAATTAATTTTTTGTAAACAAATTCTCTAAAATGCACACTTATTAGCATCTATATGTTTAAGCATATAAAAGAAGTAAGTAAAGATGATAATTATAGTTATAAAAATCTTTATTTAAAAATTAATTCAAGATGTTTTCAATATAATGAAAATTCTATATACTTTAAAAAATGTTATCAAATATTGTACTTATGTACATCGTAGTAATCAGGAATCACTGTCTGTATCATCAAAATATCCCGCTGTTTGTAACAACTGATTTTGTACTCTTACTTTTAATTCTCTTTTAATAGTGTCGGGTAATATCTCTGTAAAAAAGTCATTCTTTTAATTTTTGACAAAATTTAATTAAAAAAAAAAATCTTTGATTAGCAGGCGCATACTGCTCACTGAGATACAGGGAAAATCCTGGTTAAAAAAGACAAAGCTTTACTCCTTACCAAATAGTTACCTATTTAATAAAATTCAGTAATTTTATTACTTAATCTGATATTGTCACATCAATATCTCAATTTCACCAAAACTGTACCAGTGCCTTTTAATCTAATAATGTTCAATATTATAAAACAGTTTTCTATTACTTTTTCTATATTTAACTAATTAACTGACTGAAAAATTCTTACTGAATTAACATAAATAAAATTGTTAAGTGTTTTTATATAAGCCTATGAACAAATAGAATAATATTAATATTTAACAAATAAATATAAGTTATTATACTTATATAAAAAACTAATTACACCAAGTTATTATACAATTCATTGTAAATTAATGAATAAATTTAATGTAATTTTATTATTTTGTAATCCATTTAGATCAAAATTACATTAAATAATTATAAGTGTAAAATTCTTTAAATAGTTATTAAAATGTGAATTATATAATATAGGGCAGGGGTGGCCAAATAGTCGATCACAGACAATTTTAAAGTTGATCATGTTAAAATTTATTTTTAGGGCTACGCGCATGAAAATTAATCGACGTTGTAATGAACAAATTGTCGATAAGTTTTATCTGTACAATTTTTATCTTTTATTCTCATTTCAAATGTCAAATGTTTATCATTCACACACGTTCATATCACTGCAGTCATTTGATGTATATTATATTAAATTTATAATAATGTATTTAAGTTCTTTAAAGTTAATAGTATGAGTGCAAATAAGAAACAAAAAACGTATAGTTTTTATCAAGAATGGGAAATAGATTTTTTTTTTTTACAATGCAGAAAGAGAAGTGCATATGTTTGATATGTCGAATAACAATATCCACAACAAAAAAAAGTAATCTGAAAAGACATTTTAGAACTATGCATTCAAACTTTGATATAAATTTCCCTCCTAAAACTGAAGTATATAAAAAAAAATTAGAAAAACTGATAAACAACAATTGATTTTTAATAAACCAGTTTTAAAATCTAAAGCATCAACAATTGCTTCATTTCGAATTAGTTATGTTTTATCTAAGAATAAAAAATCATTTCAAACCGGTAAATAGTAAAACAAGCATTTTTAGAAGACAGATATTTTATTTGAAAACTTTAAAAATAAATCAGAAATTTTATCAGCTATAAACGGTTTACAGTTATCTCGTAACACTGTGACTAGAAGAGTTGAATCTATAGGAAAAAATTTAGTTAAAATATTAAAAAAAAGACATAAATGAATGTATTTATTTTTCACTCCAATTCAATGATGAATCAACAGACATTACAGATACCGCTCAACTATATATTTTTATACAACTAGTTTTTTCAAATTTTAATTTAAAAGAAGAATTATTAATTATAATCCCTATGAAAAGTACGACATGAGGAGTGGATATTTATCAAGCTTTTATTAATTTTGTCAGTAAATTAAATTTACCTTTGTATAAATTAGTTTGTATTATGACTGATGGAGCTCCAGCTATGATAGGTAAAAATAATGGTTTTATTGCTTTGTGTAAGAATGATAATAATTTTCTAAATTTTATATTGTTTCATTGTGCGATTCATCAACAAGTATTGTGTGGAAAAAAATTGAACATGAGCATGGTCATTGCTTTTAAAATAGTAAATTATATACATTCACAAAGCTTGCAAAGACAACTTTTTAAATTAAAATTAGAAGAAAACGATTCTCAGCGTTGTGATTTTTTACTGCATACAATTGTGAGATGACTGATCTGTGGTAAATTTCTAGAAAAGTTTCAGTGTTTACTTCCTGAAATAATAGTTTTTTTTAATCCAGAGGGGATAATTATGATTGTTTAACAAACAATACATGACTTCAAAACTTGGCTTTTTTAACAGATATAACGGCTCATTTAAATACTTTAAATGTTGAACTTCAAGGAAAAGGTGGGACAATAATTGAATTATTGAGTTCTATAAATGGTATTAAATCAAAATTGATATTACTAAAGTCACAATTAAAAGCAAATAATTTGAATAATTTTCCAAACTTAAAAAATTTTTTTGAAAAGCAGAAGTGTACAGTGGCAGTGGAAATATATTGCTCCGAGACTGAAAAAGTGTACAATGAATTTGAAAGACGATTTAAAGATATTAAAAAATTATGAGACATTTCTGTCTTTTCCTTTCTCTGAAAAAACACACATTGAAAATATTTCTACACAAATAAGCAATTTGTTTGACATGGATTCTGTAAAATTTGAATCTGAAACTATAAAAATTAAATTAGATATATTCCTCAAAGCTCGAGGATCTGAAACCAATTTTTGGAATTTACTGAGTGAAGAAAAGTATCCGTGTTTGTGGATTGTAGCTTTGCAGTTACATATTTATTTTGGATCTACATATTTGTGCAAAAAAGCATTTTTTCACATGAAAATGATAAAAACAGAATACTGAGCTATACTCTCTGATGACCATTTGAAGCAGTGTCTTTGATTAGCAATCAGGAACTATTCGCCAGATTATGAACAATTGGTCAATGAAATGCAATGTCACACTTCAATAATGCCCAAATCAACAAAATAATATGTTAATTAGATATTAGAAATTATTATTTTTATTAGTATTTAAATTACTAATTAGTAATTAGTTAATAATACTTATGTGTATATGTTTATATACACTTTATACAAGTATGTTTCTTAATAATTATAGTTATTCAATAATAAAAAAAATTTCTATGGAAGTCGATCCTCAAGGGTGAAGTAAATTTTTAGTAGATTGTGACCGAAAAAAGTTTGGTCACCCCTGATATAGGGTATCTGATTAAAAATGCTACGCAATATACCTTTTAAAACACAAAATAATTCATCTTTTTTTTTTAAAAAAAACTCAACAAATTTTATAGGCTATTAATTAAAAAAATAAACCCTTAATTTTTCTACAAACTTTTAGTAAATGATCTAATTAATAAATTGACCATATATAATAACTTTTAGTCTAATAATTTAGAAGATATTACTAATTTTATATTTAATCAAAACACTGGTCTAAAAAAATAAAATTATGTAACCAAAACTACCACGAAATAATAATCATTTTAACATAATTATGAATTTATTTATTTTTATATAAATTAAATCATAATTTAGATTTTGTTTATTTTTTGAATAGAAAATTACTAGCAGTATATTATTTTTACAAGTAAACAGTGTTTTCAACTTGCAAAAAAACAATTTAGACTTTTTATAGTTTATTTGTATTGTAACAATTAGGTAAGAATCTTCATTAATATTATAGGTATAAATGGTATACTCTGAGTATACTATATAGACTCTAATGATATACAGTTTCCTGGTAGAGAAAATGAATTCAGTATGCACTTGTCAACCAGTAATGCTTACAAAATAATAATTTGTTTAAGATTTTTTAATCATTAAATTAAAATTTACTTAACTTACTTCTAGCATCAGGGGCAATATCATTAAATAAGTCATTTTCAGTAATAGACTTGACCGTTTGTCCTTTTAATAATCTATCATTCAGTTTTTCTTTACATAGCATTGTTACCTCATCCATCCAACCACATTCAACAAGTCTTCGACATAACAATGACTTAAATCTATTATACAGAAATTGCATTAAAATAATGTATACAAATTTATTTTAAAAAAATTACTTTTATTTAATTTACTAATATTTTAGAAATATTTCTATATAGCCTTAATTTTTTGAAATAAATTTATTTCAATTTAAAAACCAATTCTATTGTTAAATTTTCTCAAAAATATAAATGCATTTATATATTTTTTTTCCAGTGAGTCATTGTACATTTTTTTAACAATAAATAATATTATAAATATTGAATTTTACTTTCCACATAAGAAACATTATAACTTACATAACGGTAATGACAATATTAGATTTATTTCATTTTAATTTAAAATGTACTTGTAATATATTTTAAGTAAGCCAAAAATATGTACTGTTCAAAAAAAAATGTTAGCACTTTTTAAAATATTTCATTTGATACCTAAAATCAATATAAGTAATAGATTTTACTGATACAATTTGTGTTATTACTATTAACTCATGAGAACCTTGTCTAAATATTTTGAAATATTGTATATAAAAAAATAAAAATAAATTAATATACTTTTTTATACTTCAATTTTAATCACAATATATTTACTCGTGTAGTTAAAAATAATATCAAATAGGTTTTTAATAGTAGTTTAAAAAAACCCCAGCATAGTGGGATCGCGGCACAGTGGAGATGAGGCATAGTTGGGTCAAGTATAATGATATCTAACAGTGATTAAAATCACTGTCATAAAAAATGCTTAAATGCAAATCTGTAGATATTGTTTAATTTTAAAAATATGGTAAAATATAAAATATAACTTTGCATACATAATTATTAGGTAAATTTATGCAAAATTCAATGAGATGTTATTCTAGAATAATTTAGATTTTTGAAATAGACTAATTAGAAGTAAACTATTTATATGCATTCAATAATCTCCAGTAATACATTGATTGAATTAATAATACCCTCAGTTAATATAAATAAAAAAAACTTTGGGGTATAGTGACATAGCTCTTCAGTGACAAAATTATTTGATTACCATTAGTTTTCATTATTCTAATATTATATTATAAAAAGAATTTTTAATGAGAATTATAAGAAACTTTAGGGAATGAGTAATGATAATAAGTACATATCAAGAATAAAATAATATAAAACTTCTAAGATTTTTTAGTTCTTTAATTAATAATTATTATGTAAAATTATTAGTTTTAAGTTAATATAACAATGACTATAGAACTCTATTAGCATATTCTACATCATATCAAAATTTAATACTTACTTTTCTTCGTCTTCTATTGATATTTCATTTTGAGCCATAATATTAGTATAATTAGGTCTTTGAATAATTAAAAAATTGTTATAATAATTTACTTAAACTTGGTGTATTTATAAATTAGTACATTTCATTAAAATACATGTTTTTACGAGTATTATAATTTGCTTGTCTTAAAGAGAGTAAAAAAAATAATCAAGTGATTAATTAATATTAACTTTATTCATTTATATTCGGTAAATTTAAAAATATTTATCAATTTTCTATAAATTTGGATATATTTCTAAGACATCTAACCAAACAAACCCAACTCGTTTGTGATAAGGATTTTTAACTTCATACTCGTGATGTGTGACCGTTCCTGTGGACTGTGAGTTTAACCACAGACTTTTTATATGCAAACGATATAAACTTATTTATGCCATATATCTAAACGAAACAACGGATTTGTTAATGCATGTAAAGTAGACAAGCATATTGCGAGGACGGTTATTATGACAGAAAGGGCTTTCTCTAATTAGCTGTCCTCAGAACACGGTCAGCTCTCTCATTCGTATGGAAAACAAATATGAAATGTCCCTTAATTCCATTTGCTGGACTACGCCTACCAGTCCTCGGGGCAAATATTCCATCTAAATGGTACATTTGGTAGTCTATGATAAACGGATACCTAGATTTAGGGATCTAATTGTCAGTAGGAGATCTAGTTGAGAGGGGATTAACATGACTATGAGTATCTTGTTGCTGGAGTTACTCGAGAGCTCCATGATGTTAGGTCAACTAGATCTTTAAACACTGAAACACTTTAAATCCGAACCCATCGTGAGTTTCTTTTTTTATTAAATATTATAGTAACCCAACAGTATTGCATTAAGTTTAATTTACAGACTTTTTCAAAAATCTGTGGATTAATTTAGTCAATAGTTTTTTAGTATACTCATTTTTTTAATTTCCTGTCACCATGGAATCAATTAAATCTCAAAAAAATTAAAGAAAAGAACGATAAACCTTTTATGTCTATTGCGTTGAAGTTAACATTTATTACTTCATAAGTAGATTTTTCATAAAAGACTATCTTATTTTGTAATAATTCTATTTAATAATTTTTAATTTAGACTTAATACATTTCAAAATAGTATGATAACAAATAAAATAATACGATAACATATAAGGTGTCTTTGATAGATCCTCTTTAATATAAAGTGGTGTTTGCTTCAAGAATTATCACTAGTCCCTAGTCTATTCATTTATGTCTATGCTGTAGTTTAACCTAAGATCAATGAATGATAATTACAGATAATTCATATATATTTTATCAATTACAAAGTATATTTTCGGCTATTAATATTTCTGTTGCTTAATTTGTTAATCATTGTGATATTATTAAATTGTGTAAAATATAGATATTATATTAATATTAATTGATTTTGTTATAATATATATATATACATATATACATAGGACATTCAATATTTATCAATCGTAATTTTATAGTTAGTGTAAAAATTCAATTAATCAACCACTTTTTTTTTTAAGAATATTGTTTTAAAAATGGAATTTGAACCTAGTGTAGAAAATTCTTCCTCGGATATTATAACTACCGAAAAAGAAAATTTAGTTTTAGAGTCAAATAAGAACCATGACGATGTAGAAAATATCAAAAGTGATGAAAAAACTGTGGATAATGATAGCGAAGATCAAACATTTCAAGATATTTTAGGCTCTGGAGATTTAACAAAAAAAATTATTAAACATGGAACTAAAGATAATCGTCCAACTAGGGGTGAACAAATTGTCATCCACATAACAGGTCGTCTAGAAGATAATGGAGATATTATAGAACAAGAAAATAATTTAGAAATTACGTTAGGTGATTGTGAGGTAAAGTATTTAATTTTTATTCAGAGTTATTTTATTGTATTAAAAGTTAATTTTTAGGTAATACAAGGGGTTGATTTAGCATTAAGTCTGATGAATGTTGGGGAGATAGCAGAATTAAAAATTGCTCCGCGATTTGGGTATGGCGATAAAGGATTGGAACCTAAAGTGCCTCCTGGCATAAATTTACTCTATACAGTAGAATTAGTTAGTGCAGAACCAGAGCTCTCTCCTGAAGAACTAATACCTTCTGAGAGATTAAAAATAGGGTAAATAAATAATAAATTTAAATAAAATATATTTTCTAATAGAATTCATTACATAAAGACCACGTTTTTTAAATAAATCGCACATAATAAATCTAGTAAAAATCAACCTATAACTTCTTTCTTTATATTTATGTAATAAATATTTGTATTTTTAGTAGCTTTTAATACTTAAAAAATAAAAAATTCTTGGTTTTATTTAAAATTTAAGGACTTCTTTATACAAAAAACTTAAACATTTGTGGGTATTAGAACAAAAGTGATATAGTTTCCCAGTAAAATTAATAAATTTATCACTTTATTTTTTAAGATGGCAATAACATTATGTTTTAGAGCTATATCGTTGCACTTTCAAAGTCTACATTTATAGTTTTAATTCTTATGGGATTAAAATATTAAATCTAAATTAAAAATAAATCTGAAATCTTATTAAAATTAACATAAACCACTCTTATTCTAACCCCCACATATTTCTGTTCTGCTAGTGTTCTAAATAAAGTAATTAATAAAAATATTTGAAAATGGTTTAAATTAGATTTTACTACTTATAGCGAAAATAAGGTAATATTTTAACTAGACATACTATCAATAAAAAAATAAATAAATGTTTGAAATACATTTAATAAATTAAATGAATTCAAACGTTCATTAGCAAAAAAAAAAAATTGAATATAATACCAAAATTTTGCTCAACATTAGTATAATTATAAATTGATATGTTATGAAAACTTTTTTAGACAAAAGAAAAAGGAAAAAGGAAATTGGTGGTATTCACGAAATGAAAATACTATTGCATTACACTTATATCGTAAAGCTCTTCAGTATTTTGGTCAATCTGGTGAAATAGTATGTATTATTTAAATTCAAATAATTATTGATAGCAACTAATAAGTAATAGTGGGTAAATTAAATGGACTAGTTTGATTTGGTTGAGAGCATATATGTCTTGGTACGCAAGAGTCGAGTTTTGGTTTCAATTTGCTGAGCTATACTACGGCCTTTAAATATTATAATGTAACAACTGATATTTGGATTTTTTTCTCTAATCATTTTTAATAGATTTTAAAAATACATAAAAAGAATTCATTTAACTTCATTATTTTTTAGGGTGATGAAGTATTTTTAAATGTTGACATTCAAAATGAACGAATTAAAACATTGAATAACATTGCAGCTGTTCATATGTCTATGAATAGTCTTGACTTAGCATTACAGTCTTTAGAAAGTGTACTTGCAGTTGAACCTAATAATTTAAAAGCTGTAATGCGTAAGGGCAAAGTGTTAGCTGACAGAGGACACAGTGTATTAGCAGCTGAGCAATTCAAAAAAGCTTTGACAATTAATCCAAATGATAAAGCTATTAAAAGATTATTAACTGATATTGAATATACACTACTCAAAGAAAAAGCCCAGGAAAAAGAACTTTATAAAAAAATGTTAGGACAAAAGGATGTAAAAGAAAAGCCAAGGAAAAAGGCATCCAAAATGGTGGGTTAATTAAATTATTTACTTTTTACATTTATAAACAAATTAAGTTATTATTTTATGGTGAGAGTTATTTTATTTGAATTCTTTTATTATTATACAATTTATTTTTAGCTGTCAATATTTTTTTTCATTTAATTTTTTTTTAATAATAACAACAGAATTAAATATCAATATAATCATTTATTCATTTAGTTGTTACATTTATAAATGTTAATGAAATAATTTATTTTTAATTAATTAGTTTGATTTCTTAAAAATATATTAAAACTCACTTTAGTATTAATAAATGTTATTTTAGAATATAGCGTATGTGATCAGTGCGCTTGTAGCTGGATTAGGAGTGGTCGGTGGATATTGTTATTTAAGCAACAATTATTCTTTCAACAAATTTGGTTTATTTTAATCGGGTAACTTAAATTTTATAAATTCTGTATTTATTTATTGTGATTCTGTCAAAATTAAAAAATTTTAGTTGTTGTTTATCTTTATAGAGCAAAATATAATGGGTATACGTGTTTATAAATTCATTCTTTCTATATCTTGTTATATTATGTACTCATTTTTATGTTTTTAATTTATAATTAAAACATATACTTTTTTCCTCAATTATACATCTTGTTTATATATAACAATCATTTTTATAACTTACAAAGCCAAATTTATCTATTATATTAAAACTAAAGAGAATATTTTAATTTTATAGATATATGATATATATGTGTAATTAACTTTTTTTTAAATTCTTTTTATTGTAAATCTAGAATCTCTATACAGTATTCTTAAAGCAAAATTTTCTAATTTAATATATCTTTTGTTCTTAGTAAAAAAAAATTTCAAGTCAGTTTTGTCAACTTTTAAGTAGAACATTTTAAAATTTACATATTATCAGTAAACTTCCATTTATTTTATCTATTACTAGAAGAGTACCCATCAACGAATGATAAGTCAGATATATTCATTTTAATAAAATAAACCATATTATTTTAAGAAAAATATGTAAATTTTTTACTTTTTATGAAAAATTAATAGGTTTAAAACAAAACTATATAATATATTTTTATAGGAAATTACTAGAATATAATATTATTAGCATAGTATCATAACATGTTTACACATATTGTACGAATTTTCAAAAAAAATAATCAAACATATCCTGCTGTAATGTTTCCATATAGAGTAATCAGAGTGTTTCTCGCCATTTTAAATAATCCTTGTTCAGCCCATCTCTGACCCCAGGAATTAACCATCAACCAGTAGGGTTGGTTATTTTCTGTACCCCATCCAATTATTTTAACAGAGTGACGTGCTATGTACTCATTTGATTTCTTAACGTAAACTCCTATAATATACAAAAAATAATTAATTAAGTTAAACTTAAATTAAGATGTTTTTATCATCAGCACCAAACGGGTGCTGATTTTAATGAGGCAGTAAAAATTTTAAAATAAGTACTTATTGAGTTACAAATATTTTAATACATTGAGTGGGTATGTAGTGCTAGTGAGTACAAGACTTTTGGACAGAGAACTTCTAGCAATTGAGTGTTTTTTTTTTTGTACAAAACAAAAAAATTAAGAAAAAAAAAAAAAAATTTCATGTAACAATGAATCTAAATCCGTAATTTTAAATTGTAGATAATTCTATAAAAGTGCCAAACATTGTTTAACTCAAGTTAAACAATAAATAAATAGGTTTCATAATTAAAAAATTTAATTAAATTTCGTAAATTTGTACTTATTGACATTTTAAAAATTACAAACAATAAATAGCAACTATATAATATTACAATAGCTGAACAACAGCACCGCATATAGTCAACAAAACGGCCACAAGTGTCATTTAGTGCACGTGTGTCAAAAATTGTAATTTTAAGACGTCATGTAATCATCAATATCAGTTAAAAAAAAAAACTTATTATTTCCCAACAAATAAACAAAGAAATATCGAAAATCTAATAAATTAATAGATATATTCTCTAATATTCTTTATTATACGGTATATTCTATTAGCTAAAAATATTCAAAAAAAAATTTGCCATTGATTGGTATGTTGTACAATTCATAAAGATTTTGAACCCTCATTTCACTGCATATACTCAATAAAAATATACAAGAGAATAAAATTCTGACTACTGCCTTTTCTAAAGAATTTATATAAATGTAAAACTAACGACTTAGAATCTGTGCTAGGGATGTGTGAAATATACCCCGGCCCACTAATGCTTTAGAGTGTCAAATATATAAGTCTTACCATTAATTCAAAATAAATTCGTCAAATATCAAAAAGTTGTTCTTATAATAGATATAAACGAAAAATAAAACAATTTTCATTTAAATGATTAGTCTTTGTATATTACCTTAATCTATAAAATAGATTCTATTGTATTAGCAAAAGTATAAATAGGTTATTGTCATTATTTTAACGAGATAATGACCATACAGCTGTAAGTCATGAAAATAAAATTTTTACTAACACTTTTTATGAATTTTTTTATGTTAAATGTTGACAATTTTAATTGCTTTAAATAAAGATATATTGAACGATTATTTATCGATTAATTTAGTTATTTTACAAAATGAGCAAAAGTAAAAAATTCGTGTTTTATTAAAGTCCCACAAAAAAAATAAGTACGACGCCGACTCTGTATCAACTTAATAAATGTGTTAAACTAATCTAAAATAGTATATTACAAAATTTGCTCACCAGAAACGTGGTATAATAAATCTTTATAGCCATCGAATACACATTGTACGGATCCGTTGTATATAATTTCATTCATTATAGTCATTTCATTTATTGGTAAAAAGGTTACATACCGGTCACGAGCTAAAATAATTTATATTAATAAATAAGTTTTAGAAATTAGACTATGTATAATTTAGCTTCATAAAAATAATAAGGTCCTAATCATTATTCAATTTTGGAAAAATAAAATTAAGTATAATGCGTTCCTTATTTACTATTTTAAGCTACAGACCTTCTTCAAACTACATAAAATTAGTGCTTTCTCTCTAAAAAAATAAAAATTTAGCAACCTTAATTTATTTAAATGTATGTATAATTTTATAAATACAATAATGATTATTAGTTAACTGCGAGATAATATTAAAACTGCTTTTGAATGGAAGTATATAAATAAGATAAATTAGCTATTAATTTTTAATTCGAGAATTAAGAAAAATTCAGAACACCTCAACTTACCCCAGTTTTTATCATCTACAAAACGCTTGCGATAATATGTATTTGTACAATATCCATAACAAATAGGTGTATCTGCCTCAGTCTTTCTGCATTTAGGATACCCAGATGATCCACACGGAAGAATTTCGTATGGTTGACAGCCCTTTGATTTAGTATAATAAATTATTTTAGTTAAAAATATTATACAAACAATTTTTACTTGAATCATTGATACAAATTGTATTTTATCAATATTAAAAGTAGATTTTCATTTTGTAAATTAGTAAATTTTGTAGTTAATTTTAATATACAGCAGAGCAGTTGCGGAACTACGTTCACTGAGGCCCGTGAATACAATTTTTCGAAGGCCCTATTATATCTGTAACCAAATTCAGCTGACATAGGGATTTTAGTTTATACACATTAAAAATGTGTATAAAATTATGTAATTAAATTACATTAAATTATGTATACTGTATAGTTTATTAAGAACTTATTGAATTATAAATTGAATTAAAAAATTACAAATATGAATATACTTATACTTGAAAATTTTTTTTTCTGCTATGGTCTTGAGAAAATAACTTAACTAATGACGACAAATTCAATTTTTTAGCCCGCTCATTTTCAATTGAAATTATTGCTAGGCCACTGAGCCGTGTTTGGCACATTGTGCTCCTGAGATAATTATTTATTAATTTAAGTTATGAGTATGTCCTCTCTGCGCTTGCCACAGTAACCGGTAATGTAAGGAACAAATAAAATGCTGTTAACAATCTGGGAAACTAGTAATTAAATTATTATTATCAATTATTAGTTATTTAGTCATATCAAAAACGCTGCGACAAGATTTAAGCTCAGAAGCAAACAGAAATTTAAATGATTCGATTTGTGTTGTAAGTTCTGCTGGATTAAAGTCCTCAAATGCCTCTGCCAACTTTTTTGCACTCTTACCGATCTCTTCATTAGATATTACAGTTGGTCGTAAAATACAACTAAATAAAGCACTTATTTCACTAAGGCCTACAAATCTTGTTTTCAATTTTGTAACAACAGTATCAATACATAGATATAAAACTTGAGTTTTAAAATAATGGTTTCCTGCTGAAAGACGTTTATCTTGACATAGCTCACCATAATTTTTTTTTACTTTTCTCATTCGTATACAAGAAAACTCGGGCGTTACATTCCATCGTAATGCTTTAGAATTAGCTTCTTCCAATAAAATATTAAAGTTATCGCGGATTTTCCAATGTGCTTTTTATCAAGTCAACAGCTTTGCCAATATCAACTCCAAGTGATTGAAGTATTTTAGATCCTAAATTAATTTTTGACAATATTTTATACATCAATAGAATTAAAATAATTCTTTCATAACTTTCGAAATATGTTTTGAGTGTGGAGGCATTGTTTTGTTCATCCTTATTACTCCCGGTCAACGTAATGTTGTTTAAAACTTTCATAACATCTGGGTACATATGGTTGAGTGATATCAAACAATCAATTCTAGACGACCATTGTGTTGGGCACAGCCTTTTGAGTGATCTATTTCACAGCTTTCTTTTTTCAATTTTGCACATCGAAGTGTATACTGTTTCCCAAAAAAGTATATAGAGTTTTTAACATCTCAAAAAATTGTCTGATTTCCGCAATAACAGAATCGTTTACCACCAAATTTAAATTATGCAATGCACAATGGACATATTTTGCTTTTTTCTGTCGTTTCCGAAGTCGAGCCTGCAAACCATTATGTTTTACCACTCATACTTGCTGCTCCGTCTAATCCAATTCCTCTAAATTTACCAAAATCAAGACCATTATTTTTAAATGTTTTAACTGTTTGTTTTTTTATTGCTTCACCTGTACTTCCTTCTTCTTCAGAAAAACCAATGAAATCTTCTTTTATTTCAATACTTTTAGGAATTCCAAGTTCATCTTTTTCTATATGTACATACCGATATATCGTAGAAACTTGAACAACCTTGCTTATATCTTATGTTGAATCTAGAATTAAGGAAAAAAATGGCGCGGAGGTACATCAGATATTATATTTTTCTTTATTTAACTTTCTATTAATGCAATTATTTGATTTTGAATTTGGTGGCTAAGATATTTTATGCTTCCCTTTGGCTTCTCTAGAAGTGTTGCTAATATTGGATCATATTTGGCTAAAAGTCTTATTAAAGCCATAAAATTTCCATTATTTTTGAAGTTAGCATCTTCTCTATGGCCTCTGAAAGACAAATTTTGGCCACCTAATGTAATCGATATATCTATTATACGTGTCAAAACTACGGTCCAATATTCAGATTCAGAAGCGTCTTGCGTTTTTATTTGACAGTCTATTGGCTCAAAAAGAGTTTGTAGAAAAAGATTGTTCAATTTCCGAATTTTTGATAAAGTACTTTGAAAAAGACGGCAACAATTTAATCTTTTGCTTCTCTTCTGCTTTACGTTTTCGTTTACTCGCTTCACTTTCAAATCTTTTTTTATTCGGACCATTCATTATAAAATGAGATTCTCAAAGTCAAGTTGTACACTAAAATTATAACACAAGAACAATACGTTTTCTTTCTATATTTTATAACATTATTATTAATATTATTTGTATAAACAATTAGAATTTTAAATGAAATATAAGTATAAATTTAATATTGAAATTTCAAATATTACGTTGAAAATAATTAACCCGTCATTGGTAAACATGTGAGCGCCGCGCTCACACAAATAGCATTTTAAACGTCAGTCACATAAATGTTTGTTATTTTGCTTGATTTTCTTATTACCTTCAAATAAAAGCTTACCAATAATTACAAAAAAAAAAGCCGCTATCTGTATTTCCTCATGTTTTCAGTGTGCAAAGTTGACTGTACCGATAAAGTGAGCGTTGCTTTCACAGTTTATCAATTTCATATTATTTTAATTGCTTATACGTTTATTTTTTTTCAAAATAATGGCCAATAATGTTTAATCTTTGTCGGAGGAGACTGTAGAACAGTTTTTAGAAGACTTATGTCAACCCAAGTGTTGACCCCGTCCAATTTTTTGAAAATGAATTCGGACAGTGACGTTTCTGAACCTGCGCCTGGTACTCACAATACCAGTCGCATAAATAATAAAAATACTAGAATTTTACAAAAAATATTTTACCAATAGTAGTGAGCAAAATGATACTTTTCTATGTATGATTCAATTTTTTGAGTTGATCGAGTAATTAATAATATAGGAAAAAGTAACGTGTGAGCGCGGTGTTCACAGTTTAGCAATCATGATCCGTAACATAAGTTTACCAACGACGGGTTAAAANATGATCCGTGACATAAGTTTACCAACGACGGGTTAAAAAATTAAAAATTACATAGAAAATAATAACATCAGTTCTTTAGATTAAATCTTAAGTCTACTTTATAATGTTTTATGATGTATTAGATTAAATTAAAAACAAATAACGATATTATTTTATACCTACTAATTCTATGCTTAAACTTAAATAATTACATGTTATACCTTGTCGGTAAGTAAGTAAAAAAAAATATTCAGTCATTAGTTTTAATATCAAATAATTTAATTTTAGTATTTACCTAAGTACTGCAAATGACGTCTAAGACGTTCATTTTCTCTGTCACCGAATAATATATTAAAAATAATTTAAAAATATACTATAGTCTATACCCTTATCGGTTCGTTTCCGTGGTGAATATTAGAATAATAATATTTCAATATCTCATGTTTTTGTTTACTTGAAATGTTACAAAATGCATTGCATCTAATATTTCTATGATTAATATAATAAACTAATTTTTTTATTAAATAACATAAATAATTAAAAATTTCGCTATGAGGCCCCTTTAACAACGAGGCCCGCGGAAAATCTCGCCTTTACACATATGTAGTTCCGCCTCTGCAGCAGAGTATATTTTAACTAACAAACTAGGTGACATAAATATATGTAAAAAAATTAATATATCATCTAGTAAATATTTTTTGTCGTCTAGTACTAACAGAACCGGTAATCGTTTTGGAAATTGCCAACAGAAAACTGAAATGTCGTGACTGAGTCTTTCTTATGAAATTGTCACTGACAAACATGAATAAATTAAAAATTATCATAATTAATATTTCATATTTTACTTCATATGTTCCATAGTCACCACCAGTTACAGCTCCTTTAGTTTTTAAAAAATTCCAAGCATCCTTAGGCTCTCCTCCGCTACAACCATTGTATTTAGCACAAGCTAATATATGTTCAGCCGATACATTAACGACAATATAACCATTGCTCTTTATACATAATCTATCACTGAAAACACCGGCAGCTGCAATAGCCTATATACAAAATAACTATATGAATGAAAAAATACAATAAAAATAAATACATGGTAACGATGTATATTGAAGAAAGTAATAAAAAAATTTCTTATGTTAGTTTCCTCCCAAAACAAAACCACGGTAACGCTAATGGTTAAAATATTAGACTATTAAAAATTATTTTGATTAAATTAATAATAATGATACGCCCGTGTGTACGGGTACGAAAACCAAAAATTATACAGGAAAATTGTGTTAGCGGCGAATGGTGAGCGGGGTGGGGTGAATGCGTTACGACATGTAACAAGTCTAGTCTCAAGGTTATAGATGACGGTATACGCGACTTAATAACACATGCCGCGTGGGATTTACAAACTTACAACAACAAACAACAAACATACATGTGAAACTAATAAAAGCGTGTTAAAATAGCATTTGGTAGCCATTTTCACCATGAAGATAAAATAAAGTCCGAAATTTTTTTTTACCATTATAAAGTATATTACATTAACTTTAATTTAAGGTATATATAAAAGTGTCAGACTTTCCGGAACACTTTCAAAAGTTAAGTTGAAAAAGTTCTACTTTCTACATGCATTTTTTAGATTTGAACCCCCCTCAAATATAGGGAAATGGTCCAATTTAAAAAAACAGTATTTCGAATGAAAGATGTATATAAATACTACTTCTCATGAAAAATTGTACTGATCCATATATTTTTCAAATAGTTATAGCATAATAAAATTAAAAATGTAAAATACAAAATCGAAAATTTGCACACAAAAATAGCATTTGGTAGTCATTTTCACCGTGAAGATAAAATAAAGTCTGAAATTTTTTTTTTTTCATGATAAAGTATATTACATTAGCTTTAATTTAAGATTTATATAAAAGTGTCAGACTTTCCGAAACACTTTCAAAAGTTAAGTTGAAAAAATTAATTTTTTGTGAAAAAGTTGTCATTTTAAATCCCCCCTTGTGGGCAGGTAAAGGATTAAATTTATAAAAAAAAAAATATACCAAATGAAAGGTAATGATATCATGCATTTATATAAAAAAAATTATATTGATTCGGTTATTTTTAAAAAAGTTATAGCAATTTTAAGTAAAAAAAATTTTGAAAATTTCGAAAATTAGCGATTTTTAAATTTGTAATTTTTTTGGAGGTTTCCCCCATTTACAGGGAACGAGGGAATTTTTCCCTTTTTTGAGGGTAATGTCTTCGACTAGATACGATTTGTGATCTTTTGACGTATCATTGAAAGAAATCGGTTCGGTGAGAGCTGAGAAAAAGTGGTAACAGACAAAAAAAAAAAAACACTTCTTAGTAAAACCAATAACTTCGCATCGAAGCTAAAAATAAGTAAAAACTACAAAATAAAAGAAAGTAAAGCTAAGACTCGAGTGTGTCCGCAAGAAGAGAAAAAATGGGAATGATTCTTTGACAGATATCAAAGGACAGGTCAGAACCCAGAGGGCTCTTAGGTAATAATGAATCAAGATAATAAAATTTTATGTGACAATATGAGTTATTTGATTAAAAGAGAGGGGTGCTTTACAATGCGGTACAGGGAGTGATTTGAACTACATCATTGTTTGTTTAGTATACAAATAATGACGAGTAATATGTTATGAAATTGTATGAGCTCATTTATGGCTTATTCGGTAAGGATTATGTAAACAAAAAGTAAATGATTACGCGCCTCAGCGGCGTCGTTATATTATTGCTAAGCGTAGGTGAAATATATGGATTTAATTAAGTAAAATAAATGAATATTACAGAAGCGTTTTAAAAGGTAATAAAATAGAAAAATAATAACATCACTTAGCTATTTGCACTATGGCGACGATATGTTTCAAATGATACAGTGAAACAAAATACATTAGAAATTCTAATGCAAATTGCAATAAATATATTCATTTTAATTTTCATAAGAATTTCTGAAGCTTATAAGATATATCTTAAAAAATCTTCACTCAATTTTCATATACTAAATCTGTTCATTAAACATTTATAAATTAATATTCTTACCCAATCAGAATTGCAATTTGATTGATATCTGACTACTCCAATTGAACGGCATTTGGGCCACTTTTTGCGTGCATCAAAATATTTGGGTAAAAAATTTTCATTTTTATCTAATCGAGAATTTGATACATTATTTTTTTCAGTTTTCTCATAAATTAAACGGCTTTGACTACTTTCTAAATGTACATGTGATTTATAGACATCCAATTTATTCTAAAATATAAGCATAATATTTTAAGATCTCCAAATTATTATTTGAAGATTTTGTCAGTTGTATCAGTGTATTTGATGAACAAAAAAATTTTTTATTTATAAAAAAGTAATAAGTGTCCTTTAATTTCTAGAACCAGTGCTAATTACAAGTACAGATTAATAAAACATTAACTTACATCAGGTTTTTCAAAAATTAGTGAGCTGGAAAAAGTGAAATAAATTATTAAACAAAATCCTACATAAGTTTTATTTTTCATGTTAATAATCATTAAAAATTAGTAAATTATTATAAATTCGTTTAGCGAAAATTTAATGTTTGCTCTTGAAATTCATTTAGTCACTATTCGCATAATCGCAATGAAAATGTATTTAAATAGTTAGAAAACAATTTCTAGTTACACTATATAAATAATTAGTAATATGTTGATTAATCTGCATACGTGATCAGGATTTAAATATAAATATATTTTCTTTATCACAAAAAAAATTAAAACTTGAGTACCACTTAATATTATATCGATTTAAGTTTATCTGTAAAATAATGCTGTTTGTTTAATAAACAATGAGATAATAAGTATTTTGTCAACAGAAATCTTAATATGACAAAATTTTATCTAATCGATAAATCAACGTATTAGAGATGGACGATGTCAGTAATAATAATTATTACTGATAGGGTTATAGGACCGCATTAGACGTGAAGTAATTATTACTCCACGACAAATATGATCTTATGGTGGGGGATTTTAATCCCCAATAAAAATGCTGAATTTCAATGAAATAAGTTCTCTTAACCTATAAATATTTTGTCTTTCCTCAGTTTTTTAAAGTGAAGTGCAAAAAAAAGTCTTTGATATATGTATTACGAACCCGTATTATAGCCGTGGGGTAATTTAGGAAATAATTAGTGAGTGGACTCCGGATAGCGAGGAGACCAGCAATACTCATTTAACCGTTGTAGTAAGAAGTATCACATAATAAAACTATAAAAGTTAATAATTATTATATTACTGCCGCTAATATATATTCAATTGCAAATGCCATGTTAATTTATATTTATTGCACTTATCTGTCAAGTTAAGAGTTGCTTTTATTTATCATCAATCTACAGCTGACTCCAATACGTTACCATAGTGGCGTATCAGGAGGATGTCCGTGGGGACTGTACCTTTTAAAAAAAAATTTGAGAAATATAATTAAATAGTATAAAGTATATGGTTATAATCTTAGTATATAAATATAATAGATAGTAGAATAGAATATATTAGTAATTATATAAATATATATAGTGTTGCATCGCATCTGTATTGGAGCCGTACATTTTTGTAGCTGTCCTACTTCCACCAGCCAATAGTGTCCAGTCTTGTATAGTAGTACCAGTGCTCGAATTGGCCAAAAATAAGTAGGGGAGCTCAACTTAACAATTTTAAAACTGCGTCCCTAGCATTTTGAAGACCTTTTTTTTTTTACTCATTACTTTATTTAGTATTTATTAATAAATCATATTTCATTATCATACTAATATTTAAAAAAAAAAAAGAGGTGGTATTTTCCACCGTCCTCTCGTCCCAATAAAAAAAAGTAGTTGGGGTGCGCAAAAAATTTTTAAAAAAAGTAGAGGAACTACGTCCCCCTGCGCACCCCCCCCAATTCGAGCACTGAGTAGTACAAGTCACAAAGAACAAAACGTATACAACATGCCTATCGATATCATTATAGTTATGTAATTATAATCAATAATAAACATTTTTGTTCTTTTGAGATATTGGGTACAATATGAAGATAATACACTAAAATAATATTTAGAAACTTATTGCTCCAAACCAATGTATACAAGTTCACTTATCCAACATGAATCATTAACATTATTGGAAGAGAACTTGTTTAATCAGAAATAATTGAATAAAACGATAGCACAGTGGGGTCGCGGCACCGTGTGCACGTGACATACAGTGATGGGAAAAAATAATAGTAACAGTGATTTATAACTGTTTGAGTAGCAATAACAATTTGTCATTTGGAAAAAAATGTAACAGATGTTATTTTGTGTTTTACGCAAGGTGGATTCAATTGATCGTAAATTCTCCAATTTTTAATTGAGCCCAATGCTTATTATAAAGGCAGGTTAATTCCCAATGAACCAATACTCACAATAACTCGCATCAAATGTCTTGAGTAGAGAATATAGATGGTCCGGTATAACAGCCAACGCATTTTATCCATAACTCAGTAATAACTAAATATATATGTATATTACAGTGGCTGCTCGTGGTTTGGACTACGGGACGATCACCACCCCCCCTCCCCAACTTAAATTAATTACATATTCTTAAATCAACATTTTTATTAAAAATGCAAATTATTTAATAGTAAAATAGTCATAATACACTTGTCGTGTGTTAACATTAAAGTTTCCCTCAGTATATGTGAGTGCACATACGAACAGTGTTTGGGGACGATCGGCAGCGTCGTCCATACGGTAAAAAATCAGTATATTACTATATTGGGTAATTTATTTTTATAATTAACTGCGCGTACGCTAGTTGTTGTCTGTTGCTATAATTATGTAATCGTTATTATTATTATACGTTTTTAATTTATAACATTAATATATTTATCTACTTTTTTTAGTACTTTGGCATTTCCAGTAAAGCCTTTTATTTATTTACTATCTGTATTCATTTTTCGCTTGTATTCTTATTATGGTTACTTAAAGGTGATACTGATATAAACGTAAAGAGTTATCATTTTACTTAATTTCTATGAGCCGGGTTACAAAATCAAAAAATTGGCCGCTTAATTCATTTTCATTTAATTATAGCCATTGAAGCTTGAAATAAAACTATTTTTCACTTATAGTTCAAATATAGCTTTATAAAATAGAAAATGCTATTACTATAAAATATTTTTCAGTACTAAACTGTATAAATCCTGTTTTTTGTATACAACAACAATAGCAATTAAAGCAAATTTGAGGAGGCTAGTTTCCCTAAAAATTAAAGAAAAAAACACGACAGAGTAAAACTAATAGTGTTTCAGCTACGCACCTTTTTACTTGCAAAAATGAAACAGAATTTTACAAATACAACACATTTTAGTAAAATATTTAACTATCCAATAATATTTACTTTATACTTAATATTCATAAATTAATGATGTATATAATACATTATATAATCAACCTTAACTATTAAATTATACTTACAATTATACTATAAAATAGTTTTACCTATCTATTAAATTAAATTAACTAATTAGGCCAATATGAACCACCGCTATGTTGTACAAATATAGGTGGGTGGGTAAGAAAAAATTATGTTACCGATAGCCACCCTAAAATAACATATTGACCAAGTACTTGACAAGTACACAAGTATGCACTAGTGAACTACAAGTGTAAACTTGTGAAGCCATTAATTCCTTTGTCTTGTGTCACATTCACCAACAATCCGCGGGAAACTGACAAGTGACCAATAATTATACAAGTATAGTGTTCCGACGGCATGACAAGTATACACAAGTGACAAATTTCTAACAAGTACACCAGTTGTGGGAATCCACCTTTATAAAGTACTTGGTATTTGATCTAGTTGTAAAAATAGTACACTTGGCTTTTGTTTATTACTTGTACAAGTACACCACCAGTCGTGGGAACCCGTCTTATGATTAGTGGTATTATATTTAAAGTCACTTAAATATTTAAATATTTTCAATAGCTTTTCAATAGACTATTTAATTTAAGTTAACGATTAATCCATAACAATTATTAGACTAATACTTCGTAGCTTATTAACAGATTTATAAAGTATATATCGAGTAGAAGTATGGTACTGAAAATGTATAATAATAAAATATGATTATTAATATACTACAACAGAGTAATTTTTAATTATTGCATATAATAAAAAATGGTCTAATTAAAAAAGTGACTAGTAGATAATAAACATCGGAAATTATTAGTATTTTTAGACTTAAGTAGATGAAAATGCGCACCCGAGAAATGCCTAATGATAAAAGTAGTCACAAATATATTAAAGTACTGTAGTGAATCAAAAAAAGAAGAATAAAATTAATATAAATACTTTAATATTTTTATTGTGTTAATAATGATGAAATAATAATTAGGGGGGGTTATTAATTTTAGGGAGCTACTTTGACAGTTGCTCAAAAGAAATAAGTTAAATATAATATGACGGGATTTTGATTCTTATTTGATCCACTACTTTATTTTATTAATAATATTATTACTCGGGGTATGAGTACGAGGGTCTGTAAGAAAGATAGAAGATGATAGAAAAATAAAGTGATCTTTATTTTATTAATATGGGATTTATCATAATTAATTGTCAATTCTTAAATATCAATAATGCCACGAGTTTTGACGGTTATCGATGATAGGTGGGATTGAGTCACCTCGTGTGTCTACCCAGAGTGGTATGGTGGCTATACATATGAACCTCCAACCTAACTCCTGAAATAGACACGTATCAACGATATAACTCTGCCAAGTAACTCTGTACAAACATTATCGATTTATTAAATTTACTTGGTATATTTATTATTATTGATAATCACTTGATTTTCCTGTATGCCTACTTAATCTATGTACTCATAATATTTAATTTTAAACCTTATTTATTTTTGGTGAATTTATTAGATTCCTACCTTGATATTTTCTGCTATACTCTTAAATAAATAGATTTTGTATTTTGTGAACAAATATAACTGTGTTGACGGCGGATCACTTCTTGCATATGTTTCGTAGTGTGGAATGGTCGAGCGTAGTGAGTGCCTCTGTAAGTATCTGATTGCATCTGTCTTAGAATGCTCTTTATTTTTGGCTTTTTATATTAAATTTGACCGTAGTTCAAAGGCAAGAAGTAATCCCCGACGCCACCGTTATTTCTTTATTAATCGTAATTTATTACATGTTATTTATTACATTTTCATCAATAATGATCTACATATTATAAAATACAATCATATCTCATATAATAATTTAGACATAGTTTATTACCCTTCATCTTATGTGCTACCATTACATATTGTTTATTATTTCCTGTTTGTTTTATATAATTAATATATACTCTTTTTCTACGAAATTTCATTAATATTTTTAAACATTTAAAAGGTACATATATATATATATATATCTTATTTTTATTGGTATACATTTTATTTTGTGTAATTGATTGATTGAAGTCTTAAATAATACATTATGACATTAATGATCTATTGTGTATACAAATAATTTATTATAATATTAATGATGTACTATGTATATCATTACAGTACTAAATTGAAAATTAAACAATACATTGGTGACAAATTCGCTGATTAATTGGAATGTAATGGATTGACATATGAAAAAAAATTGATAAATTTAAACGAGCCAAGTAGTAAAAATGACAAATACAAATATTTGGATGAACAATATTAGAGTTTCATAATTGAACAGTACAATATATATATTGCATGTGAGAACGTGACTCTGCAGCGGCAAATGGTAATGTACAAAAAGAGATCCTACATTTCCCAATAGACCCTCAGTTGTATTCTCTCGTGTCCCATGGGTGAGAAATAAGTTCATAAGCAAACTGACAACGTTGCTTCCATAAGACTGTACAACAAAAAGGGACAGAGCATTGAAATCATTCTTAAACTTATGAATAACTCACGTTGCCAGTTTACCTGTTTATATATATTTTATTTGAATTTGTCGCCGTTTTAAAATATTCGTTCCATCTGCTGAAAACGGTTGTTTGATTTCGTCGGCCAAATATACTAAAATTTTGCTATACCGTCCGGTTGAGTTATTTTTCTATTCCTTATTTATTACCCATTTGAATTATAAATAGATACATTTATAAAATGTACGCTGTTTGTTATATCGGATTAGTTAATTTTTGGTACAAATTATTCAAGTACCATTATAACTACATACAAATTATTCTTTTTTTAACAAAAATGTTTGATAGAAATTTTTAATTTTCTTTTTGCATTTTATTTTAGATTATAAATATGATGCAATTAATAACAATTCAAACGGTTATTTACTGTGATAACTTTTGATATAAATTTAAGAATATAAAATATTATATATAATATGTTATCTAATTAGCTTTACAGAATGATTGATTTATCATTGACCATAAAGTGTCTATTAAAGTAATAATCTTAAAAATATTTTTTTTTACTTTGCTTTTATAATATAAAATGCTTTGTAAGTCTGTACTTTATTTTTTATAAGAGCACCAACTTTTTAGCATTTACTACATTAAAGTTATTCTTTTTCTAGTAGAAATGTTTGTTATATATTGATATAAGTTCTATATTATGTTTTACATTTTATTTGAGATTATATTTTTATAATTTATAACAATTTAAACGATTATGCATTCAAATAATTTTGAATTTAAAATTAAAAAATATAAATAATTGTTTACAAAATTGTAATTTATATAAATACATAAAAGTGATAACTGAAAATACACGGTCGAGAAATGTTTATTGATAAAAATAGTCATAAATATATTTAAGCAATAAATTGAAAACTCCACAAAATATTGCGACAATTCGTTGATTATTTTGAATTTACTAAGTAGATATTTGAGAAAATTAATACTGAAATCAATCGAGCCAAGTAGTAACAGCGGCAAATATAAATATTTGAATGAACAATATCAAAGTTTAATAAATGTATAGAACAATGACTACATTGCATGCGAGAACGTGACTCGGCGGCCAAATGGTAAGAGAGACTATATCCTATATCACTCAACAGTCACTCAGTTGTGTTTTCTCGGGCCTGCGGTGTAGAAATGAGTTCGTAAGCAATTTGGCAACATTGCTTTCACTTAGTTATTATTGAGGTGGACATTGTTTGGTCCATTGTGCGCATTGCTTTCACTTAGTCTATATAATAAGGGACAGAGCATGAAATCATTCTTAAGCTTTTGAATAAAACACGTTGCCAGTTTGTTTATTAACTTACATTTCATTTGTATATGTCGCCGTTTTGAATATATCTGTTCCATCTGTTGATAACGGTTGCTTGATTTCGTCGCTCAAATATATTAAAATTATTGCTATTAATAGACCGTCCGGTTGATTTATTTTTCTATTTGTAATTTATCGCCCATTAGTATAGTAAATAAATTGCCTTTATAAGATGTATATTATGACGGCTTTGACAATTATTAGCACTAATTATTCAAGCACCACTTATACTACATTATAGTTAATCTTTTTTTTTTCAATTTTTAGCGAAAATTGTTACTATTTTTGATGGATGTTTAAAATTTTTTTTTTACATTTTATTTAAGACTAATATTGTATTTTGTGTTAATTTAATCAGTATTACACTACATTAAATATGATTTAATTTTTAAATTAAAATTTAAAAATATTACTAATTTTTTTCAAAACTATAAGTATAATAAATGTATAAAACTGTTGAATAAAAATTGTGTGAAATATTCCTAAAATTATTTATTACATGTATATATAATGTGGTATTTAATTAGCTTTACAGAGTGATTGATTTATCATTGACCACTAAATTTCTACTAAAGTAATAATATTATAAATATTTTTTTTGGCTTTGTTGAGTATTATTGATTTGTCAGTTTATAAGTGGTTAAATATTCTTTATTCTTATAATAGTACCAACTTAATTTTTTTAGACGACAACATAAATTTTCAAGTTACTTACATAATACACAATTTTCTAGTTAAAAAAATGACTGATGAATAATAATCATTGGATCAATCCTTCGAAAAGTATTAGTACTTTAATATTTAGGAAGATGGAATTGCGCGGTCGAGAAATGTCTAATGATAAAAATAGTTATAAATATATTAGAGCAATAAATTAAAAACTCCACAACCTATTGGCAACATATTCCTTGATTATTTAGAATTTGATGGCCAGATATGTGATAAAATGAATACTAAAATTAATTGAGGCAAGTAGTAAAAATGACAAATACAAATATTTGGATGAACAATATTAGAGTTTCATAATTGAATAGTACAACATATATATAATGCATGTGAGAACGTGAATCTGCAGCGGCAAATGGTAATGTACAAAAAGAGATCCTACATTTCCCAATAGACCCTCAGTTGTGTTCTCTCGTGTCCCGCGGGTTAGAAATAAGTTTATAAGAAATCTGGCAACGTTGCTTCCATAAGACTGTACAACAAAAAGGGACAGAACATTGAAATCATTCTTAAACTTATGAATAACTCACGTTGCCAGTTTGTTTATTAACTTACATTTCATTTGTATATGTCATCGTTTTGAATATATACATTCCGTCTGCTGAAAACTGTTATTTGAATTTGTCGCTCAAATATATTAAAATTATTGCTACAAATAGACCGTTCGGTTGAGTTATTTTTCTATTTATTATTTATCGCCTATTAGTATTGTAAATAAATTGTATTAAAAAAATTATGCTGTTCGTTATATTATCGGTTTAGTTACACATTATTCAATGTACTGCTTTTACTTTAATATAGTAGTTTTTCTGGTTTTTTTTTTTTAGCAGAAATTGTTATATTTGATGCTAGTTTTACTTTTTACATTTTAAACTAAATATATATTGTAATTTATATTAATTAAATTATAGTTGAGAATTAATCTACATATGATATCCAATACTCACAAAAAAATCATCAAATTTGATGATTCATGGTAAATAATTTTACTAATATTATTATCTTTGAACTTCAATTCTAAATTATAATATAAATAAACGTTTGGTCTTCTGTAATTATTGATTTTAATTTTTTCTATAAATAATTGTTTTATCTCTAATCAAATTAGTCAATTTTTTTTTATTTTATTCACTTTTTTTTCTTGCTCTATTTATAAATGGAGGATGATAATTTTAATTTATTGTATTATATTTAGTTTATTTTTTATTTTTAAAGCTAATCTAAGATAATTTTTTTGACCATTTTATAAGTAATTGCAATATTTGATTAATAAATTTATTAAATAAAATCATAAAATTTTTATTATTATTTTATTGCATTAAAAAAAGTATTTTTTTGTTTAAAAAAATTATGATTTATGAACTTAGGACTCAATTATGGCTATTAATCTTCCTAATATATTTAAAATTAAAATTGCCCTAAAATTTTTAGTAAGCTAATTTTAATTGCATATAAATATACTAAATATCGGATCATTTTAATAATTAATGAATAAATTTAATTAAAATATGTAATATAAATTATATTATTTATTCAAACTTCATGCAATATAATAATAATATTCAAGTTAAAAAAATCAGATATGCCTTAAAAAACATATTGAAAAAGTAAATAAACGCCTAAAAAAAAGTAGAATCAAAAAATGCTATGACATAGTATCCAAACTTTTATTTAAGATGACGTCATACAGAGAATAAAACGATTTTAAACATGTTTTACTCAGAACAATATTATTTGATTTTAGTGTCTCGAAGTTTTTACCAAATTATAAAGGAGAAAGTTATCGATGATTTTGGTGACAATGCAACTTGATAATAGTTTTAAGGACGAAACTTTTTTTTTTTTTAAAAGACTATGTCTATAGAGTCGGTCCAAAATAGCACTTTAAACGTGACGAATTTCTTTTTGAGCGGCGATAACCGATTATCCTCATCCTTCAGCTGCTCCCTAGAGAAATATCAAAACTATTTAATTTATACTTTGTTATTGACGCACCGAGGTACCATTTGGCAGTCACTCATCTGAATTTATAAATACATTGTTATTATTGATAGAGTTATTCTATGATTTTTACTCGTTAATAATAATGAAAGTATCTATTGATCGAAAATTTGTAGAAATTTGCATAGTTTTTTGTAATATTAGAAGACATACTTATCACAAATATGACTCGATAGCATATATTCAATTCGAGGGTGGCAGGACGGATCAACAGTTCTTTTGGTAGCTGATTTTTTAGAAGTCAACTAAAATCAGATATTGTTTCTCTGAAGAATTCATTATTAGTTAAAAAAATTAAGGTCATCATGAAAAATTTGAGTATGAATTTAAAGTTCGCCGGTTCTGAATTTATTTATATGTAATATTGGGTATTATTCAAGACCATTTTTTGATTTTCAAGACTCATAATGTGATAATGTGTAATAAGAAATTTTAAATTGTTAGGCACATAATTAATAATGTACATACAATAAATTTCATTTGATAAAAATGCGAGTTTTGCAAAATTGTGTAACATGAATAATAGGTCTTGGCGCCATCAAACAGCGTTTTACAAATTTTAGATTGAATTTAAATATATTTATGATACATAAAATTGAATACTCCTTACTCTATGTATGTATTGAGTGAGTTTACTAGGTTCACTCGCACTGTAGTGAATATACATTCAAATTAAATTTTATATGACACTCAAATTTTTTTTTTTCAACTTTCTAATCTAAAATAAAATTTGCTATACATTTTTAGAGAAAAAATTCATTTACAATTACCCCACTTGACCCTGTGGATCAATAGTGTATTTTTTTAATTCAGAGATAAACATTTTTTGCATGTAAGAGGTTTTTCAGGCCTAGTTTAATTAAAGATTTGTCATACATAATAATTCTTTGGAAATTAAATTTTAACAAAATGGTAGACAAATTATATATAATATAGCGATTTTTTCTTTTTTTGATAAATGTGAAATGGTGTTTATTTTACGATTCCTATATCCGTTTGTGTTTGATAATCGGTATAAATGTGTGTATATACATTCGTTTATGTGTATTATTTTTTAGTAATATCTTTCAAAAATTTTATACTGAACAAATATGAATTTATATTTATTTGTTAGTGAACTCTAATTTTTTGTTTCATTGTGCATTATAATGCTACAATGAAAGTTATAATTCCTAACTATTATATTGTAATCAGTATACTTTATGATATTTAAATTTTGTGAAACACGCGTTACACAGTCATTAATATAGTCATATCTTGGAAACCCTTAATAATGAGTTCACTACTCTACTTGACAAACATTTCTCTATATTAGTATTTAAATAAATAATATCACCAGAAACAACTAATTACCGTAAAAAATTATTAACACCTTATAACAAAAATTTTGAGTAAGGGTCCTGGTGTTTATATAATTGCTCAGAGCTGTAAATGTCTCCTTGTGCCCATTATATCCTTCAACAGACCAGATTAGAAGAGTTTAGAAAGAACTTATACATAAATTATGCATTCAGTTAAATGACCTGACCTGGACATGTTCTTCAAAATTTGTGAAGCTGAGACAATATTTGATCAAGCCAGACTATGCTTGGATATGAAAATATATCAAGCTTTATTTTACAAAATAATGTTTGGGCAAAATTGGACTTAAAAATTTAAGTCTATGCAGAGCTTAAAAATGTTAAATGAAACTAAAGAATTCGATCTATAGATTATATTTTTGAATCATAAAAATATTGGTTAGGTTTAATGGAAATTTAAATAAATAAAAATTAAGAAACTCAATAACATAAAGTAAAAATCTAAATTATGATTTTTATACAGCAAGACTTTTTATTGAAAACATCATTCTAATTATTAATTGATGTCATTACTAAATACTTAGATTTCTAATGTTCATCGTGTGGGATAAAAGGTTTTCCCCAACGTTTTTCCCATAAAGATATATATTCCTTTTTAAGTTCTTCTCTTTTTGCAAAGTATTTTGGGTACTGAGCTTTTTCTAATGGATGCCAATTATCCACTACCCAATCTGGCGGGAAACAGTCACGTTCAAAAGCTGTACCTCCTGGTGATGACGGAACTAAAATTAAACACAACAATTTTCATTTTTTCATCAAATAATAATAGAAATATTAAATAAAAATAAAAAATATGCATATTTTAATTCAATTAAATTACAAATTTATTTATTTACAAAGAAAATATTTCTATAAGTATATTGAACAAAAATGAAAAATAATTTTTTGTTAACCATTTGTTCTCCAGCTTGCAAGTTTAAAATTTTGGTAAAAATCTATTTAATTGTTTATTTTCATATCCTATGGCATAGATGTTTAATTGAAAATAATTTAAATAGTATCAAAATAATATACATACTAACAAAAAAAAATCAAGTACTATTTGAATAAAAAATTAATTGAACAAGTGCTAAACTTAATCAACATTCAAAAAAAAAATGTTTAAACTTTACAACACTTATTCTTTTTAATTTTTTTTTTTTGTAGGGTGTTTCTTTGCCCATACGAAGCTAAAATAGCAATACAGCAAAAATGAATGAAAACCAACTTACTACATAATTTATAGTTGGAAAAATAGTTATGGAAAAAAAACTATACAGTTAAAACGGATATATGGCATCTTGCATTAAACATTATATCAAATATAATAAGCACTAATGAACTTTGTAATGAATTGGTCCAAATTATTTGAGGGTAAAATTACTCTACATAATGCAGTAAAGTTACTAAGAGCTTTTACTAAACATTTTTATTTATTTTGTCCAGGTATGACTTCATTTAATATAATATTTTTTATCAAATGTAATAAAAATGAAATTTGGCATATATCTATCACTTAGTATTAAGACCTGTTTTTAGAATAATATACTTTACTAATGTATGAATTATTAATTAAATTATTAACTATTAAATACATACATTGATGAGGCTGATAATGTTGATTTGCCCATAGTTCATGTTGACCTTTTTTCAATAATTCTTGTGCTTTAACTACATCAATTATATTCTTATTATCATCAAAACGTTTTCTCAGGCGTACTACATTAATTCGCATCAAAGGTCTATATTTTAAAAAAATAAACAAACTATAGTAAAATTATTACATTCAAAACAACCATATTTTCTGACAAAGATTAAGTGAACATAAAATTATGTCAAAAAATACTTAGGATACTTATTTTTTTTTTTTTTTAATAAATTTGTACTATTTTAAAATGACAAACAAATAAATAGATAATAAAAATATTTTTACTTTCTTTTAATCATAATAGTGATTTTATCATCCATGAATTTAGACTGAAGTGTTCCTAGGTATGTATAAATTACTTATTGGAAAATTATTTCAAGAAATACAAATAAAATTTATGTAGGTATCCTACACGTTAGACAATTATAGATTACTAACTTAAGGTTAAATTTTATTTAATTACAGTATTAAACGTGAAAAACTCAAACTAATAATTGGAATTATTTATTTTAAGTATAATAGACATTTTAAAATTGTTATTACAAAATATTTGTTACATGATCTTATAGATTAATAAAATAATATATAATTATTCATATAAATATTATTAGGTAATTTAATTAAATTATACTAATAATAATTTATACTGTATGTTAAAAACATTTACCTATAATGAACCCAATCTTCAATAGTTCTGCAAGCTTTTTTGTAAAGTGAGCAGACTTGTCGTTTATGAGTTATTATCTCAAAGGGTATATGGGCCATTTTTTACTTTAGAATATATGAAATATTTAAAACTGCTCTATTATAATAAGAAATATCTCAACATCAGTTATTCAAAAATTAAAATATAAAATTTTGTAACTATGAAACTGAAAAGTCTATGCTAGAAAATGTTATCATTGTATTATCATGCACACGAAATAACATCTGATTATACGATTGTTTGTTCAAAGGCCAATCCCAAGGTGGATTTATGATTATCAATGATGGAAATAATCGAATCGTTAGAAATTAGAGATGGGATTTTTGACTCTCTGATATGAATCAGTTCACTCAAATGGGTTGACGTAGTGAGTCAACTCCAAATCCCAAATCGTCGAATCTTTAAAGGTGCGATTCTGACTTGTGAGTTGTAGAAGTTTGTGGAACGCGAATTACGACTCGTAACTCATACTCGTAGAGTGCCTTCTAAATGCGCCTTAATAGTTATCTTAGCTAGATTAATATCAAATATGAAATATCGATGAACTATTGTTTTACCCAAATGTGAATGATAATTCATTTTACTCATTGTAAATAATAATTATTTATTACCTGCTATTGTAAAATGATACGTAATATTGCTATCAATAATTTTTTATTCATTATTTGTTTATATATATATTGGAATTAAATTAAAGCGCGAAAGAAATGAAAATCAAATTCAAATTGTATGTACATTATGGAAAAAGTAGTTGGTTATTACTAATTAGTAATTTTATGAGATGATAAGCCTCAAACCCTGATTTTTACCTATAAGATGGTTGAGCTAATTTTAAGTTAAAACTTCTAATCATTCAATATTTTTATTCCTTTTTTCTTCTATTAAAATTTTAGATTCTCAATACATATCCACAATAGTTACACAAAAAGTAATTTATTTGGTTATTTGATATTTATAAAATATTTTTGTATTAAATTGTTTAATATTTTTACTAATTATATTTAAATTTATTAATTATTATTGAAATAAAGAGGAAATTAAAAATCTAAAAAAACTATTTTTTTATTATTAACATCAACACATAGATTTATTTGGGAGAGCACCTTTGCCACGAATTGATGATGCTCCGACATTTACATACTTCGACATTTGACAAAGTAGTAATTGTTACGAACATCTGGTACTCCGACCATCTGATTCATAGGTTACCAAAATTATGACGGATTTTACTCCGACATTAAATTTAAAAAATGAGATAGTAAAAAATCCGACATTATCGATAGTTTGATTATGCATCGAAAGTTATATTATATTTCGATTGCATTGTTAGTAATAGGGCGCATTGATCGTATATGTTGCAACGCCAGGGTGGAGTGGCTACAGAAACACTACATTATTAAATTAATTATATTATTATTAATAATATTGTAAAATTAAAATTAAAATGTTCTATTCAATTAGCATTTATTTGCTACTATAGTTATTATACAATAATATACATTTTGCTTATTATTTTCTGGTACAATTTCTCACATTTGACAAATATTATTAATACTCGAATGATAATAGTCATTCATTAAGTATCATAAAATTAATAGTGTTTAATACAAATGTACATTTTTGAAAAAGTTTTCTCTATTGTTAGAATATATATTTATCTTTGAGAATTTTATTTTTTAATTATCCAATAATTACAAAATATTTTCATCAAATCAAAAAACTGTTAGTTAACTGTTTTTTCAGTCGATCCACAAAATTTTATCTAACAGTAACTTATTTTTTAACATCTAAGAGATCCATTTGAAAACTAATTTTTCTGTAACAAATATGTGCTGTAAAAATTGTCTTGTGCAATTTTATTAGTGATTAATTCCTAAGTGTGTAATATTAAAAAATAATAACTAATATAACACATAAAATTGTTTGTACAATATAAAATCATTCTTGGGGATGTCTGGATTTTTTCCTGTGCTGCATTAGGATATCTAAGTATAAAATAACACAGTATATCCAACTTCAATGCAGTAATTGTTGAACACATTTTTTTTAGTCTTATTACTTTCTGGAAGTTTCTTCCAATAGGNCATTACTTTCTGGAAATTTCTTCCAATAGGTTTTTATAGACTCAGAAGAGTATGATTAATTTTTCTTTCAGCAATTTTAATTGAAAATTAATTACTAAAATTATTTTTAACTTATATTAAAAAAAATTAAAATAGTATTAAACTGTGTAAGTTTTGCTACAAGTCTAATATGAGTTATGCTAAGAATTAGTAAGTTTTGGTTATATATAAGTAGAATTAATTTTTTCTTATTTAAAAATTCTGTGTGTCACCTAAAATTAAAAATATATTAACTCATCGTTAAAAAAATTTTATTTTGTGACATGAGTTTTATAATCAATGTTAAATTATAAGTAAAACCATTATAATCTCCAGTGGTGCTCAAAAAAAAGTTAAAAATATTAAGGAGTAAAAAATTATTTATTTAAAGTTCTTTTTGTTTAAAATCTAATATACATTTATTGAAATCAGTTTAATATTTCCTTGAAAAAAATATCTGAATAGCCTTTCCTTTTTTTAATAATAATTAAATTTGTTGGACAATTTTCTCAGTGGTCCAGTGAGAAAAAAAATCTTAAATTTAATGAGGGCCTTCTGAGCCAGGCCNAAGAAAAAAAATTTTTAATTTAATGAGGACCTTCTGAGTCAGGCCGACACTGCGAAAAGATGATTATTTTGCCAATGTTTTCATCTCGTTAGCTTAACGCGTATCCTGCAAATACAAATGTATTGTTTTATAAATACAAAATGAAGTTTTTTTAAAAATTTGAATTAATTTTATATGTACTTTTTAGAATATGAAAGCATATTCCAAAAAAAATAAAAATTTATTTTCAAAATAAAATCACGTAATGTAATGTATTATTTTTTGTAAATATGTATTTATATATATATATGTCCTATAAAAAAAGTTGTACAGTTTCAATATTACATTATTATATTTGATTTCCATTTAATGAGAAAAAATGAATAATTGTTTGATTATCAATCATGATTATAAATTAAAATATTTAACTCTATACGTATATTTGACAAAACTTCAAATAATCATAATGCAAATGAAAAAAAACTGAACCATTATTTAATGAATTGACTGCATATTTTTAATCGAGTTAGTTAAGTTTAAAACCAATTTACTTAGCAGAAGATTTTTGTAAGTTTATGATAAATCATAAACTATTGTCCACTGTTAACTTATAACTGCCTTGTGTTTACTTAATTTGACTAGAACGTAGGAGTATTGCAACAAAACATTTGGGAACTCTAATAACATAATTTTTTACCTAATCTAAAAAAATATTTCTATACAACAAGAAATACAAATTAATTCATTTTCGGTATAGTCTATAGCAGAATTTTAGGAGACAAAGCCCCCTCAAGTCTCTCCAGATTGCGGTCAAATCCAAACTGGACTGAATTAATTTCGTTACCCACCTTTGAACAATGAAATGATATTAAATCATATTTTTGTTTGATTTCATATGAAACTAATTGTAATGACAGTTTTAGAGAATGGGATACCGAATATCTTTATAAACGCATCTGTTTAATAACGAATACTATCATCATAAAAACGTACCTCAATATTTTTTAACTAAACTAATTGAATGTTATAATATTAATGTGCTTACAATGTTATAATAAGCACTAATAAGGAGAGGTAAAAAAGATTTTACGTCTGAAAATTGGAATCACTCTTTTTTCCCCTCTAAAAAAAAATTTAAGTGCTCACACCAGTTATGTTACCTTTATGTACCTATTTTATCAAAAGTCGGATACATTTTGGGGATCTTTATTGTAATAATTATTCGTTAATAGACAGTAATCAATTATAACGCTATTTTATTATATTAATTAATATTTATTAATTAAAGATAAGGGTTATATTTTACCATCAGATAATATAATGCTACGATATTCATCTACTCCGAAATTTGATAATTTTTTAATCGATTTCGCGAATAATCGATATTCGGAGCTAATTTCATTCGGAGCAATCAATTAATAGTCCTATTCGGAGTATTCGTCGTCGTAGTAACATCCAAATTTTTGTAACCAGGTATTCGTAGTAATTGTTGTCGGAGTAAATGTATTCGGAGGATTTTTTTACAGTGTCGGAGTAAATGAATGTCGGGGCATCATCAGTTCGTGGCAATCTCCGGAACCCGATTTATTTATGTGTTAAATTAGATATACAAATACAATGTAGGTATTATCAATGTTTAGTGCATGAAGTGAGAAAAATAGGTCTCTTCTCTTATATATTTCAAAATTTTCTTGCATACAATTACAGGTCTATTCTTAAATGAATATTGTTCTAAAAACTGACATATTATGTATAATCTAGTCTCATTTATTTAAAATTTTTATCATTGTGTCAACGCTGTTTCCTGTGATCACAGTAAATGTTGTGCACAAAATCGAAAATTGTGAAACACTTTTAGCTTCGATGCGAAGCGGAGAAGGTATTAATTTTACTATGATGTGTTTTTTTTTTTTTTTTTTTGTCTGTATACGCTCAATCTCAGCTCTCACTGAACCGATTTTGATGAAAAATATGTCAAAAGATCACAAATCGTATCTAGTTGAAGACATTACCTTCAAAAATTGAAAAAAAATCCCTCGTTCCTCGTAAACGGGGGAAATCCCCCAAAAAATAACAAATTTAAAAATCGCTAATTTTCGATATTTTTTCATTTTTTTTTACTTAAAATTGCCATAACTTTTTTAAAAATGACCGAATCAATATAATTTATTTTTATATAGATACCTTAGATAATTACCTATTATTTTATATATTTTTGTGAACATTTGACCCTTTAACAGCCCACAGGATGGGGTTTCAAAATGGTAACTTTTTTACAAAAAATTAACTTTTTCAACTTAACTTTTGAAAATGTTCCGGAAAGACTGACAATTTTATATATACCTTAAATTAAAGCTAATGTAATATACTTTAATTTGAAAAAAAAAAATTTGACCTCTGGACTTGTCTTCATGGTGAAAATGACTACCGTATGCAAAAATATGCTATTTTTGTGAAAAAATTCTTGATATTATATTTTACATTTTTTAACATTATGATGCTATAATTTTTTAAAAAATGCATGAATCAATTCTATTTTTTAACAATAAATACTTTATATAAACTTCTTTCATTCGACGTCCTTTTTTTTTAAATCGGACATTTTCCCTTTATACAGGGGGGGTGCAAAGTTTTTANAAACATTTTCCCTTTATACAGGGGGGGTGCAAACCTTTTAAAATGCGTATAGAAAGTAGAACTTTTTCAACTTAACTTTTGAAAATGTTCCGGAAAGACTGACACTTTTATATATATCTTAAATTAAAGCTTATGTAATATACTTTAATTTGAAAAAAAAAAATTTGACCTCTGGACTTGTCTTCGTGGTGAAAACGGACATCAAAGTTAAAGAAAAACGTACGATTTCCGTGAAAAAATGCTTGATTTTACATTTTATATTATTTAATTTATATTTTATATAACTTTTGGAAAAAGGTATGGATCAATATTATTATTTTTTATAATAAATATTTATATACCCTTTTCATCTGGCACGCTTTTTTTGTAAATCGGATCATATCCCTTTAACAAGGGGGGTCAAAACTTTAAANCATATCCCTTTAACAAGGGGGGACAAAACTTTAAACATGTGTATTGAAACTAGGACATTTTCAATTTAATTTTTGAAAGTATTCCGGAAATACTGACACTTTTATATATATCTTAAATTAAAGCTTATGTAATATACTTTAATTTGAAAAAAAAAAATTTGACCTCTGGATTTGTCTTCATTGTAAAAATGACTACCGTATTCAAAAATTTGCTATTTTTGTGTTAAAATTCTGGGTTTTGTATTTTTTATTTTATTTTAAAATACCTGACAAGGGGAGTACAGATTTTCATAAATATTATATAAATAAAAAATTAATATAGCATAGAAAGTTAAACTTATTTAAATTTGTTTGTCGAGAAAAATAACTTTGAAATTTAAACTAGCTTAAATAGCCAATTTTTTCGACCGACGGTATCGATGAACGGTTGCCGAGTTGGTAAA